TACATTACTTCTTTGTTAGTCATACTGAGTCATGTGCATATTACACATAGAACATTTTATAAAAATTGAGACTGAGTCTGAGAGTGAGAAAGAGAAACTGGAAATCAAGGAATCACGTCTAGATGTATTTTTATCTTAATTAATTATTTTTACACTATGTGTATGTCGTGGCGACATGAACAATCTTTTTTCTTCACATACTCGCACGAAATGATTCAGTTGGGATTAAGTAATTGAAGCGCAATCTTTGTTCGATTGTAGAAATTTTTTTGTGAAATTTGATGAATTTATCAGGTAAAACATATTTTTGGTAATTTTAAATTTTTTTGATAGGGGGCCGTTCACTTATGACGTCCAACATTTAGGGGAGGGGGTCTAGGATTTTGTTACAGCTCATATGTATAAAGGATTTTTTTTCCTACAGAAATTTTGTGACAGAGGGGGGGGGGGGGGGGGTCTAGAAAACATGTTTTTATGGACGTCATAAGTGAACGGCCCCTAGGTTGAAATTATATTTTTAGTGAAATTAATATATGGGGTCATTCACTTATGACGTAAAGTACTTAAAATAGCGTTAATGACTGAAAAATTTGAGAGTTGGCACAAAGTTTTAAATGTCTCGGGTAATGATGGGCTCAGTGAGACCTCGAATGAGAACTTGGGTGAGTGAGGATAAGAGGGAGTCTAGAAATTTCATTTAACGTCATTTATGAACAGTCCCTTAGCTCATCCAATTTTCTATCAAATAAATATTTACACCAATTTAATTTAATATAAATATTTGATCAAACTATCAAGTTCAAGCCACTACTTTACTAATATCTATCAACCCACAACTACTTTCCAGAGTTATCAAACATAAAATAATATACATTAAGCTATAAGAAACCTCATTATTGTTATTATCATCAAAACGTCCCACATCATGTTTCACAACAAAGTACAAAATGAACAGAACTAACCGCATTTTTCAAGGAAAACATTACACTAGAATTTTTTCACATTTTCATCTCTTTATGCCACGCAAGTTTAAAGATTTTTCCTTCGTATTTTTTTTTTACATTATTCGAGTGGAAAACAGAACAATTTTTTAAAAAAAATAAGAAAAATAAAATGAATGAAATACATTAAGGGCAAATACATATCAGGTATGGGTGCGGCACATTCTCGTAAGTAGTATTAGAAACATCAATAAAATATGAGTGAGCGAGCATTTACCCGGAAGTTTGCATCACATAATCTACCCTATGAGACAACAACTGGCATAGTACAAGACTTTATGTTCTTTTCTATTTTCTTCTTCATTTCTTGCACCATATTTCCTTCTTCATATTTTTGTGTTAAGCATTCTACATACATATGTGTGCCGATGACGCTGATGATGATAGTGATGAATGACTTTTTTCAAGTTTTCTGTTTCGGTACAAGAGGAGAGAAAAATAAGGGACGAGACGCGTGCCTCTAAAAGAATTCTCAAATTTTCTAAAACTCGTCGCCTTCACATCTCCAAAAAAAATCATGTGTTTGTGTGTGATAAAAATGTATATTGACGTGTGCTTCTAAATAAAATATGTTAACCGTATACGTTTCGCTGTTTGCAGCAGTTTCTGAGATGTGAGGCGACGATATGTTTTAACTTTAGTCTTAATGTCTGTTTATTAAACTGTTGACTATAAGTGAAACTTAACTTCTAATATTAGAGTAAATTTCTAGAATTTGAAACAATGTAATGTACCTAGCCACAATTTTTGCGGTCGCACAAATCTTATTGCCATGACTATTACAGCAAACAATCCAACTAGGAATGCTCTGAGATCGAGCTTGGATCGGTATAACTACGATCTTGTTGCTTGGCTATTTTAGAAGTTGACACTGTTGTAGCTAGAAATAGATTAGCATCATAATATGTGGATAGCCCAACTAATTCAGCTGAAAGTACTGCAATTTAACCAGTATTTATAATCTATTGTACCCTTTAAATGTTCAATTTATAGTAAAATTGGAACCACTTGTCTTGAGAAATGCAAGTGTCTTCAGAACTTTTTCATTAAAATAAACTAGACATCATGAGCATAGCGAGGAGCGTACGCAGCTTTTTTAAGATCAACTATTTTGTATAATATTTTTTTATAACTTTCAACCTGGCTTAAGCAAGCCCTTTAAATGCGCACTAATTCCTCAACTGTAATCATTCCCTTACCATTTCTATTTGGAAGGTCTTTGAAACAAACTTTTTTAAAGAGCTCCTGCGGCAGTAGTCGAAATAAAAGGGAACGGAAAAATAATTTTTGCTCTTTCCTTTATGATATACACGACATTCCATAACATGTCTCTTAGCATTCTTCTATTATTCTTCTCAGAATGAGATGAGAAATGAGAACATTAAAATGATATAATGCTTGCCTTATCCATTCACGATTCATTGCTTTAATATTCTCTCTTTTTTTTCCTTTATAAAATTCTAATGAACATTATGAATCAAGCACGGCTAGTAGTAAGATTCTCTGTTGACTTGGGAGGAATAACTTTAAGTTTTAAACATTTGTTTACTGAATTATTAATGAGAAAAACATGTTTTGGAACATGACTAATGAGAGAACTGATTTGATTATTGTTATAATAATTTTAAAGCATTTCATTGAAGAATTTAGCGAGCTCTTCATGCATGAATATTTATTTTTTTATAGTTCAAATTACGACGATTATATCAGATTTCATAGTAAATTTCTGTTCTAAGCAACTTTTTTCCATTCACAAATAAATAAAGTGAGGAAATAGAATTTAGTATCAGTAAAAACCCGCAAACTAGAGATCATAAATGATTTCTTATCAAGAATTTGTCACATCATTTGCATCTTTCTTGATTCTCATATTAAAGAATTTTGGAACCTTATTGAATATGACAAGGATTAGAGCGCATTTAAGAATAGAATAATATGATAAAGTATGTATAAATTTGACATAATTCAAATATATCTTAATCCAAATTGGATCATCAATAAGCAAATAATGAAGATTATTGAAAATAAATAAATAATCTTCAATACGAGTTCTGTGTGTATTGTCTGATAAGCATATTTGTCATGCAAATTGGTATTGTGATGGATTTTAAGGGTGATACCAATAATGCTAAAGCACCATATGTTTTGAAAATATTCTTTATCTACTTGCTGGTGTTCTTATAAGGTGAAGGAACTAAATGGTGTAATTCTTTTGTGTTTCTAAACCTCTTTTCAGGGTCTTCTCAAAGTAAAAACTACAATTTTGAGTCACAGGCTGAAAATTTATTTGAATAATTTCTAGGAACAGCTAAGAAGCATATTTGAACATTTTGAATATAGACAGTCTTTGTTAGATGCTAATTAGGAAATAACGATCGGTTATTTCACTGTTTGGATGACTTCAATCTACTTTAAACTGGTTTTACGCTTTTTCCCAGAATCCAAATAAAGTTACTGAAGAAGTTGCTCAAATAATGCAGACACCCTTACTAACAAGAAGCCGCCTCAAATAAAAATACACATTCTGTAAGAAAATTAGTCACAAGAAGCAATGTCAACACCAGATTAAAAGTTTGTTTACCTTAGACCGGAAGAAAAACAATTCAACCCTCTTGAAATCATTAAAATCCCAAAAATACAAGCTAAAAGAAAGAATTTCATCGAGCAATTGAAATTAATTCTGATAATCTCAAAATGTATTATGAAAATTTCATTTAAATCGATGTAAGCGTTTCATCGACAGAAAAAAATAATACAGCCAAAGTGAAACTGAATGACACAAGCCCACATATATTCCATGAAATATATATACGCGCAGAAAGATTCACATTCATGGAAATTCCCTGATCATTTCGGCGAAGTACTGAGACATACATAAAGTGACGTTGACACCAAAGAAATAACATTGTTTATCTTAAAAGAGAAAAAAATTTTTGTGTATTTCCTCAGGCTTTCCGCAAACACACTTTTTATTCCTCTCCCTCACACTTTCTCAATGACGAAGTCTGATTTTCAACATCCATGTTCACAAAAAAATATATAATATTCTAAAAATAATCAACATGATGCTCTTTTCAACTCACAGCAGTAAGCTAAACGATAATATTGTTAAGTTGAAATGAATGTGCGATCTGCACTCATATTTTAAAACTGTGTTACGAGCATTCTCACTTTATAATCGATAGAATTTTTATTTGTTTAAATAAAAGTAGCAGAAAATTGAGGTTTATTCATTCTTGGTCATTTCCTAGACTCACTTTAAAGTAAGCATATCGTATATAATAAGTAACGTGGCAACGAGTGTAAAATTGAAAACGGAAATAAATTTATTTTTATTTTGTGTGAGCCTCGTAAACTCACTTCATTCATACCTTTTCCTCTTGAGAATTTTTCCTGAACATTATGGGAAGTGGAAAAAAGACAGACGTTTTATATCATATTTATAATATAAATTACGAGCAACCCCAAAATGTCTGTTCTGTTTATAACAAACCCAGAAATGTGAAGAAGAAATTTGATTGTTCACAGATTTAATTCTCAAAGCTATAAACGGTCAGAATACACACACAGAACTGGGTCTTGACGAAAATTATAGGAAAATAAATGATCAACGATTATCAAATTTTCAAAATCTATTATTATTTAAAAGAAAATTGTCATCAATCCTTTATTGATTATGTAAACTATACTTATAATTGCAATCATATGAAACTACGAGACTCTCCATATGCTTAATTAATTCTCTAATCCCAAGCATTCAATGACTGAAAGCAAAATATATCAGACACATAATCCGATTTCGCCGAAGACCCAAAAACAATATCACTATAACTGTCAATTTAATACCTTTATTAACACGCGCGGAAAGAAAATAAAATATGAAAAGAGCGTATATATTGATAACAGCATAGTAGAAAGTGTACTTCAAGAAATAGCCCCGTACATACATATAAATAACGCTTCGTTGGCTAATCAAAAGCATGTCAGTACGTATCTTACCTTGATTTTGCCAAATCCAATCAGGCCCTCGAACAACACGTATGCCAGGCGCAATCATTCTTTTTCCTTCCTCTGTTTCTGCTATATTTTACTATTTACACTTTAGAAATTTTATCACTGTCACGTACAGCTCTGCTTATGTGTTCCTTTTTTTCCTTTCTCACTTTTTTTTGCTTTCTTTTATTCCTAAAAGTTTATGCTATTTTGTTTGATATTATGTCTACTCGTACTCTTTTAAACACACGGAAATCTTAACAATTGTCTTTCTTCTAATTTTCTGAGAGAATAATTCACTGACAATCATTACAATGTTTCACAACACCACAATTATTGTATTCTGAGAGGAAACACACGGAATTGTCTTGTTCTTTCTTCAATTTTAATTATTTTCAGTCTGTCCACTTCTGATACTTTTTAAAAATGAATCTTTTTGATTCTTTTATCCTCCTTTTGATACTATTCCATCCACACTTTACATTATTTTCTTGATAAAACACCAGAAAAATCAATGAATGAAAAAAGAGAATTCTACGACGATAATAGACTCATGTCATTTAAATTGTTGTACGGTGATCATCATTCTAAAATGGAAATGAATTGGAAAAAAAAGAACAAAAGAGAGAAAGAAAAGAAGATTAGAATTTTTCATTTTAAATACAATCAATTAATTTAAAGTCATTGAATCAAAACGAAAATGGAATCATGGAACGTATAGCAAGGTAAATAAATGGGGTTAAAGTGTCACCGAAGGCGGATGATTAAGGCGCATTGTCTGTTTCTTTTGTTGAAGAGGTATTAATTAAATTATTAACGGGATTGTTATTGCTTAAAAGGTTGCAATATAGCTTGAATTGGCCAATGACTTTTTGATTGGTATCTCTAAAAACTTTGTCGGATTTTCGATATTTGCATGAATCGAGTTCGATTGAACTAAAACAACTCTACAAATTTAACGAATTTTTGAAATTCAAATAAACCGAACAAAAATAAACTTGGACTGAAATAAAATAAAGGCGATAAAAAATCTCTACAAATTCTAGCGGTTTTCACGAATTTGAAAATTACAACTGCAGATGAACTGAACGAAAATGAACTTTGAACCACTTACAACTTTTTGAACTTTATCGTTAAGTTTAAAATTTAAAAGCTTTCACAACAAGTCAAACTGATCGTGACAGCCACCCGAAAAACCACCGACTTTAGCATAGACTACTGCATTATAAAGTCCATTGTTCAAAATTGCTTGGCTTAAATGGATTTCTAAAGGAAATACTCATGAGACGACCTAATAATATTATGACACGATGACTCAGACCAATCGATTTATTCCGACGATAAAAGCGTTACGATAAAAATATAAATAAATAAGTGTGGAATGAAACTGCGTATATGCAAAATAATAGTGCCGATAATCCTCATTCATCGTAGCTAACGAAAAAGCGAGCATAAAATAATTCTCGTAAGCGGTTAATTCAAACTAAAATAGAATGAAAAATATATTTAAATTGTGTCGAGACTGATTGGCATTATTCATAGCGAGTAAGCGCAAAATATCCATAAGTTGTCAAAGTTCATTCATGAATTTTTTTTTAAAAAAAAGAGCGAGAGGCAAGAGACAGAAAGGAACAACTGAAATACAGCCCATGATTTTTGTAATAAATCAATATCACAAGTGTGTGTGAATAGAAATTTGCAAGGCATCGACTAGGTATGCGAAAAATATGGAAATTCCTGGACTCATTCATTCAGTTTAAGTCTTTACAAGACGAGTGCTTATGTCCGATATTTGTTTGAAAAAAAGGTATAAGTTTGCATAGATAGGCAGAAATAAAATTTATTTCTTCTTTCTACACTTTTTTAAGCACACACAAATATGCTCAATTTTGCTTTTTATAACATCCAGCCTACGTAAGTAATTTTTTTTACATTTTAGAGCACTTTCGAGCACCTTTTGGATATGCCTTACACTTTTAAACACCATAATTCACATATTTTATGGAAATAAATGTTTTAATTAATCAATATAACTCACTTTTACAACTCTTTTTGTGCATACGAATCTTATTTGGGCGATTTTTTCTTCGTACTCATTTTTTTCAGCCAATTCACATACATTTAATACAATAAAATCTCATTTTTTTTCTTTTTTGCTTAGCGCAAGCAGATATTTTAACTTTTCTAATCAATTCTCGTCACTTTTCAACTTTATATCATTTTTTTCGTATTTATCAGCACTTTATGTCCACACTACATACTTTTTTAATGCTTTCATAAGCACTTATCACTGTTTAATTCCATTTTTTATAAATTTAGTGTTTGAGATAAGCTTGCAAAGAGAGTTTTAACTTAATATGAAATGAGTAAAAGTACCTTTCTGTTTATAGCCTTGTAGGGGCGCAAAGCTATGAAATACAACAAATAACTATTTGTGCTGAACTGAATTCAAATTTTGAGAAACAGTTGATCCGTATTAAGCCATTTATAATTCTTTCTCAACTGCATCTTAAACACGTCTATTACTCACGTACTTATGCTGCTCCATTGACATACTGTAATAAGCTAATTCTTCAGCTGGTAAAATATCTGTCGAAAAACTATTGAAAAGGAACAAATTATTATTTTTTTATATGAATATTTTTTACCCTATTTAAAAACAAAACATGCTATCAGTTTTTATTTGACTGAATTTCTTTTGATTTTCTTAATTCATATCATTACCTGAAACAGGCTTTAAGTTAAGTTACTTTTATGATTATTGTGAGAACTGGTGAGAACTTAAATAAATGAATTTGTCATTTTTAAAGAAATGCTATAGTTTACTTTGTAATAAACGGTTTTCTTAGATTTAAAAGTTCAATAAAACCTCATTACATCGACTTTTTTGCATTCAAAATTCAACAAACCGTTAAATGATCTGTTGCACATTTCTCTTGAAATTCATTAATTAACTTGCTATCCAGTGTTAATTTGGATTAATTCATATTGAGAAATAAAGATCTAAGCATAATGATCAGTCATGGATATTTCAAATTGCAAGTCAATAAGCAAAAGTGACCAAAACACAAATATAACTACAGTGGAATAAAAGCGAGATTTTACTAGTAAATATTTTTATCAATTCTTCACTATTTAATTTAATTCTACCTTAATTAACCTAGTTATAATACATTTTACCTTACCAAATAATGGACCACGACAAGATAATTGTGTCAGTCACCAAAGGTATGTCTAATCACTTCAATGAAGTTAAATAAATTAATTTTATTATTTCCATTCAAAATCCAGACGAATTGATATTAAACTCATATAGAGCAACTAGGAGGGAATGTGGCGACTTAGAGAACCTGATTGTTGCATTAAAAGACTCAAATGAGCATGTCAAGAATATAGCATTAAACAAGCTAGATGTAATTGGAGAACAAATCAAATTTCTTCAGAATCAAGCAAAGGAGATATTGGAAGAGGCAGCAAGGAACAGTGAATTACATAAGATTCCATGTAATTTCATCAAAGTTCCAGGAACAATCTATCATTTATACCAGAGACCACAGAATGACGAGAAGATCTGGTCTATGATTTCTCCACAAGAATTTGGAACTAGCTGTAAAAACACTTATCTAGGTAGTTACAGAATCGAACCAGACAAGAGCTTTACCCCAGTTGATAGCTTAGATGAATACGCTGAAAAGCGTGAGTTTGCTGAATCATTAATTCAAAGTAGATCAAAAATCTTGCCAGCTTTAGAGTTCATGACTAAGAAGGAACGAAAAGACAGCGAAATTGAAAGCTAAGACTGCCCCAAAAAATAGCATAATGAAATTTTTATGTAAGTGAGAGAATAATTTTATATATAACATTAAAGACCTTTATTGGATTTTTTATGAATTTATATTAAAGCATCAGTTGACTTTCTTTAATTAAGAAATCTAATGGACATAAAAGGAATCTTAAAAGCCTCTTACAAATTAAAAATTTACTGACATTTAATGCACATATATTTAACATTTTGTTTCTGTCAATTTATCATTAAGATTATTTACAGATGAGAATTTAAAGGATATCTCTTTATCTGATTTTAAAAGCTTGTCTAAATCATTAAAATCTAAATTCTCATTTATTGTGGTACGTTTACAAGGCATTTCATTATTGTTATCATCAAAACTATCAGCTGTTGTTGAGATTGATGACCTTCGGGCTCGTGCTATGTTCCTCATTTCAATATAGCTTCTCATACGCCTTATACTTGGAGTATCATAACGAGATTCCATTAATCGTTCACGATCAGTGTCCGACATTGAGATTAGATCTGGCTGACTTGAATTAATGTAACGATTTGGCTTCATGAATGTATGAAAATCATTTTGATAACGAAGTTTCTGACGGAAACTAGTAGCATCATTAACAGGCTTTGGCTTATCGTAGCGTGCAAGGAGTAACTGAAGCTGATCATCGTATTTCAATAAATACTTCTTATTATCAACCTTATTAATATCAGCTTTGAATTTGGGTGGATTCCATAATAATTCAATTCTCTTATAATCAAGATCTGTTTCTTCCGTCTTATTGCTCTGTATATCAATTTCATCTATAAGTAAACTCATTTATTAACTAAGGATCTTGAAAAAGAGAAGATCTATAACTTACCAACATTCGACAAATATAAAGGATTGGAAATAGCTCCATCAACAATATCAACATCTAAATATTTTGCACATTTTCCTAACAAGCTTTCAAATTTAGCACCTAATGCTTTAAAGGAAGGACGTTTCATTGGATCATCAGCCCAACAAGCCTCAAGTAACATGTAAATTTCTGGAGAACAATTCTCTGGTCGTTCCATACGATAACCAGATCTAAGAAGGTGATAAAGGTTTTGGGGTGGAATTCCTGGGTACGGAGTAGCTCCTGCAGAAGTAAATTTTAAGGTATAGGATGCTTTAAAACAAGTCAAAGCCAACATTTACTCACCTAATGTAATAATCTCCCAGCCAACAATACCAAAGGACCACACATCAGTCTTTGCAGTATAAACATGATCAGCAAGACTCTCGGGACTCATCCATTTGACTGGAACTCTATCTTTGCTCTTTTTCAAATATGCATCATCTTCATAAACATCTCTAGTTAATCCAAAATCTGAGATTTTACAGACTCTGCCTTCAGCAAGTAAAACATTTCTTGCAGCCAAGTCACGATGAACAAGTTTAATATCAGCTAGATAAGACATTCCTTTGCATATTTGCCATGAAAATGAAAGTACATCTGTTGCTGTGACTGGTTCAACTCCGTCAATATTTAAATCCCCAGCTTCTTCTAGCTTTCGACTTAATCTTAAGTAGCTTCGAAGTGATCCAAAGCAGCAATATTCAATTATTATCAATGGAGGTTCACTCTTTATACATGCTCCAAGAAGCTTAATGACATTAGGATGAGAAACTTCTTGAAGTAATTGGAACTCAGATAATAAGGCTAGTAACTCAACAGAATTGTTTTTCGTCTTAATAGTCTTAACAGCAACAGTTCGAATGGAATTATCCTTATCAATTTCCTGTATGTAAGCTTTCAAAACTTTTCCAAACTCCCCCTCACCCAATGTCGTGTCTAGCGTCAATTTGTCACGATCAAATTCCCATTTGGCATCAAAATCAAACTTGTGATAAGTTTGTAGATAATTCTCCTTCTGTACTTCATTAATGATGTTGATATTTATGATCTCTGTGTCATTGCTTCCTCGATAATGAACTGATGGTCCATTTGTCAGGATTCTCTTTTTGATTTTCTTCACATACCTTCGTCTCATCGTCACTAATATAATAATCATTAAGACAAGGAGTGATGGAGATCCAATCATTATGAATAAACAAACTGTGCCACATTCAGGATGTCTTTTAAAGCCAGTTTTTTCAGCAGTAACAATTGATGAAATATCATCTGGAGTTTCTGAAGTTATTGGTGGATCTGGTGTTGTTGTTGTTGTGGTTGTACGATGTCCTTTATCACAAAAGCACGTTCCACTATTGCACGCACACATATTTCCTATGACAACTTTTCCAATTCCACGACCTTGCTTAGGAAGTGTAGCATGAATATTATTACTAGTCGCACAATCTTGAGAGCACATAAACTCATTGTTATCTTCTGCATATCTTTCCAATGCATCGCATATTCGGTTTGCACACGTTTCAATATCCGGTACGCACGTAGGGTAGCTTGAAGAATGTGTTTTTGTATCATTTTCTTGAGGCGTGTAAGGTCTCCATTTACATCTACCATTCTTCGAGCCAGCTCCACATGACTTTTCGCAATCATTTTGAAATTCAAAATGTGAACAGAAAACTTCATCATGCTCATCTTTTGGCTCTGCACATTCTTTGGATGCCTTGATAACTTTAACCTTGATTGTGAAATTTTGAGAAATTTTCTGTTCCGTAAAGTCAGCTGTAACATGAATATCGTACGTTGCATCTAATGTTGATTGTAAAATCGATGAATCTGCTACGTAAATTATTCCACCGGTTTGAAGAATGTCGAAAGCTTGCAAATGCGTATCGTCAATGCTAAATCTAGTGGGTAATAAATGAAAGATATTGATTACAATAATAAATTATTATTAAACCCATCAATTTTTGTTATTCACTTACTCAACTTTTGAATCCGAGATTTTACTTTTCGGCTCCGTAACATGAGCCAATCGTGAAGCATTTTGTAGTACAGTAACCTCATTTGGGTATTCAATGTTTGCTAAAAGTTTGGCAGTTTTTCCTGATGCTGCAGAATTTTCCGCTTTTCCTCTCGCTTTTCTGCTTTTATCTTCACTAGTAAGTTTCTCAGCTTTTGGAAGGGGTTCAAAAACTCGCTCGAAACAAATTGTAGCATTTTCATATCGAACTTTTTTCTTTATGACTTCCTTTGCTTTTAGAACAATACAGTATGGAAATGACGTAAAGTGTCCTGTTTTTGTGTACCGCAAATCTAAACAAATTATCAAATTACAGAATTGGAAACATAATAATATACGTCTTACCACATGAATATGCAGCTGACGAAATATTATTGTTTGTTGAGTTGTATGATGTACAAAATTCTACGAAAATTTCCTCTTTATCATTCATAATTTGAAACTCGATATCATCAATATTTGCATGTATTGTATCATTATCAAGGAATAATATTTTTGTGCTGACATTATTGTTCTAGATTTTAAATGGTAAAGGTATGTATGCTGTTAAAAATAGGTTCAAATGTCAATTGAGATAATATGAATAATTTATGCGCAATTTACTTCAGCTACAACAGCTATGACGATTTAAGGATGTTGTTAACAAATTTACTTTTATGTTCATGATTCTCAAAAAAAAACTGATTTTGCGCGAAAATTTACAATTTTAAGCTACTTGCTTAGACATTAAGACAATGTCATAAATCAATAAACTTTAAAAAACTGTCTTCTTTAGATTCATGATCCTAATCATCTTTTGGTCAATTTTAACCAGTTTCAAATTTTTTTTGCAGTTCTAGCAAACCTAATTTTAAGTTAGAGATTAGTTTTAACCGTTGAATACCAACTTGCTTCTTCTCTTAGAGTTTAACCATATTAACCTAGACAAAACTTTTTGCTTACTACTTACAACGACAACATTCGAATTTAGCAAGCTATTCAAATACTTGCTTGATTTTATGAGCATTTCCAATTAAATGAGCATCCCTTAACCTCACTCAATTTATATTTTCATCTCTCCAAAAGCTGGTCAGATTAAAAATACATTTGCATCATGAATGCTTCAAATTTCGCAATATTTTTAAATGAAAAGCTACTGATATTGGAAAATCCCAAACAAAATAGCGCGAAACATTTTAACAAAGCACTAAGGAATACTTGGAAATGGATGAAGGTCATCTAAATCGTATACCATCAATCTACATGCACAGTTTGTATTTTCCCAAAAAATATTTACGTTCTTAATTGGCAAACTTCCTCTTTGAACACGCGATTTCTTGGAAGTTTCGGCATATCAATGTATTTAGTTTCGCACAACTAATTAGCTTCATTAAAATGTCATAACATACCTTCGTAAAATTCGGGCTATCAAGTTTCACATTTGTTACTTTATGATTATCTTGTACTTTGACTGGATTATCATTCACATCAATTACGGAAATGTTAAAGACTTTCGTATCGTTAAATACAAATGATCCCATCTTAATGTTACATTGAATGTTTACTTTAAGACTCGAATTCCTTTCTCGATCTAGAGTTGTCTTCGTAAATATTTTATTATTCTTGATATCAAAAAAGTTGGTGCCTGTCAGAAATAAGAAGGAAAAGATAAAATATTTTCACAGTTCATAAGGAAAATGTTTTAGAAGTCGTTCGCAAGTGACGCCTAAAACCAAATTCACGTTTTTTGTAAGAAAAAGTTTCTTGACTTCTTTGAGTAGGTATCAAAATTTACAAAGACGTCATTTGTGAACAACTTGTCAACCTTAATGTGAATGAAATTTACCATTTAGTAGCTTATATTCCACATGGTATTTCCTGCAAATGCGACGATAAAATCGAGGTACGATTTCACCAATTTCACGCATTTTGAAGTTTTCATTGAAATCTTCGATAGCATGAAAGTCAATTGAATCGTAGAAGCACATGGATGACTCGCAAAAGTCTCTCACATAATAATACGGTACGAAATTTATATTTGCTGTAGTTTCTATCATGTCTTCTTCATCGTCATCATCATTTGAAGTTTTTGAAATTATTTTTAGATTCTGCACAGATTGGACATCCTTTGAAAAGTTGTTCTGCTCTATTAACCAAAGTTCACCAGTGCTCTCGTCAATATGAAAGAAATCAACATTTGTGTCAATTGAGAATTTTCGAGATGAAACTCCATCAAGTGTTTCAAATTTTATCAACGGTAGCTTATCATAGACATGCTTTGTATTACTAAATATTGGAACTTGCAATGTGAAATCTGTTTGCTGAAAAGTCGTTTCGTATGCTTCTGTAAAAAAAGAATGGAAAAATAAATGTCAATTGCACTTCTTTAAGATAAACATCAAGATGATTGTAAGATTGAAGGGAAAAAGTTTTATATTATTAAATCTACAGAGAGATACTTTAAAATTGACTATTCAGCCAGTTGCGATATAACAGAGCATGTATTCCTTCCCGAGAAGGATTCGAACCAAAGCTCTAAAATTTAAAGTTAGAATTCTATAATTCAAACAACATAATCGTATTAAACTAATGATGCGATTTTAAGGAATCAGTTAAAATATTTATGCTCTTTAAAAATCAGAATAAATATCATCATAACCTTCTTCAACTTCCCACACATCCTTAATGTCACATCTGAGTATTATTTTTAAATATAAAATACGAATAGATCTGAATTAAAAATACAAAAAAAAACTGAGTAATTCAATAAAAGGTAAAGATTGGAGTGGGACTCAACTTCAAAGCATTTTTTAATTATAAATTCTATCAACAATGAAATAGATTCCTTCATTTATTCTGAACTTCAAATCACAGTTTGCTTCAAGAACCTTAACAGACATTCCCCTTTATTTATTCTTTAGATAAGGAATCGTACACAAATGATGTCGAAAACAAAAGAAGTTTTAGAACTTCCTACGAACTAATGAATTGAAATCCTAGAATCAAAACTGAATGGTTGAATTTGCATTGAATCGTAATGAATTAAATTAAATTTCAGCATTCAATTACATTTAAGGTCGGATTCTAAATTGAAGATTCTCAATAAGTGAACTGATAAAGTTGGTTTATAAATATGTATAATATTAATATAAATTTTTGAAGTAACATTTAAGACAACAGTTGTATTTCTAAGAATTTCTTTACAGAAGAGGCATTAATGATTTAAAAGTAATTTGATTCTGACTAAACTGAAAACAAATAATAATAATAATAAAGTGTGAAGGGCCCAGCCTTTCAGCTGAAGACACTGTGATTCAATTTGTAAAGAATCTATTGTACCATACCCTTTAGACCTACAGTTTATAGTGGGATCCGAACCACTTGTAAGTTATGCACATTGCACAGTCATTCAGATGCTAGTTTATCCTTGTATACCTAGCAAAGGAGGCATATTCTATGCCAAAGACATCAATACTTCACCCAACACACGAACCGAGAAACTGAAAACAAAAGTGCTTTGAAAATTTCATCTGAATTAATTTTATTTTCTATTTTTCTCGCGACATTATGAATATCTATAAAGGAACAATTGAGCGAAAACTTTTATTGAAATGTTATATGCCTGGAGGCTATATTGCAAAATTTTCTATTGTATATAAATCTACTACTACACATTTCTCATTCATAAGTTCTGTCCAATAGAAAATTGGGGTTTTGGGATTCATCTTAATTGTAACTCGAACCCTTTTTAATCTCCTTCCTTATGACATGAATTTATAACGACCCACAATTCAACATTATTTTAGTACGAAATGTAAAATTTTTCTCACATAATATATTATTATGACTTTCATTTTAAGCACTGTCATTGTAAAAAATTCTCTGCTTTTAGCATATGGTAGTATGCTTAGCATTGTGTGATGATGAATACATTGCTCTATTGTACTGCCTTTATAATATTTTTGTGAAAATATTTTTATTTCTCTATCTGCAAGCAAATGTTTTAATGAACGAAATTTAATTCTTCAAAAATGCTGAAAATTTCGTTTTTATTGTTCATGATTTTTAGATTATTAAGAAAGTCAGTGAAGCTTGGTGTTTAGAGCGCATTAAATACTTTCTGTTGATAAAAATCTTCAAATAACTTAGAGAGCTTCAATTATCCTGAACAATGAATATTTATAAGTCCATTAAGGGAATGACATAATGTTATGACATTTAGTGGCTCCTACACAAATTTGTGAAAAGTTTAGGACTCGCGCTATCAAAATCATCCTGCTAATATAGCTTCATCGTGTTTATTTGCAAAAATACCTTAGTTTAAAAGCAAGCATTGTTGGGAATCAGATTTCCTTTCTTTAAATTCATCATTTCGGAAATGTAAAAATTTAAGAATACACAAAAATAAAATGATAAGTTTGTTCCTGAAAGCTTGTGTAGAAATTCTAAAGAAAATAATATTTGAGCTATGCCAACAGCTTTGAGAATCTCAAATTGAGATTTTGATAATTAAATCTTGTCTGTATTACGTTACCGTAGAGCTGCCGGTAAAAGATGAATAAAAATTCGAAGGAAGATTTTATTTTTTAATTTTTAACTTAGTTTTTATAACGAGGAAAATTGTGAATAATTTTTAACTTCATGCTTTTCATCATAATTTAATTCTTTTAGACATTTTGAGTGGGAATTAAAGCTGAACAGTTTTGTGAATTTATATATGTAGATAAAGTTCTGATTAAAAAATATGGAAAATCATCCTGAATTTTAAAATAAAATGATGATGAAAGTTCGTTCAATAAGTGATGTCCTTTAAAGTTTTGATTCTCAGTCTAATATCTATGCTATCCTCGATATTGCGAAACAGCTTAGTTTAAATTATATTCTCAATCTATTCTGAGCAGTATCTCTAGATTTGCTAATGAAGTTTAAAGAAAACACCATAAATCATCCATAAATTCACTTTTAAGTGAAAAACTGAATATTTTATTGACATAATTTATGAACAAACCCTCAAATCTCATTCTTTTCACATCTTCTGAAGTCTATCAAATCTCATGTTGGGAAGAAGCTCTTCCAATTTACAATTTGCATTGCTATAACAACAGGAAATTTAAGAAGAAAATAAGGAAGTCTTAAAATGATGATATTGTAGATTATTTGTGTATTTTAGAAACGTATTTTAATTTTAAACAATTCGCGAATAAACAGGATCCTAATCAGGCGTAGTAGTTTATTTTAGAATAATAGGCCAATTGTGAGCAATAACTTTTACTAATTAACGTTAATGAATTCTGAAAATTTTAACCTACACAGATTAGTATTCATGAAATTTTATTTTATTATCATAATGGACTTTTGTTTTTTGTGGGAACCACAACCGTTGATGTTGAAATGTCAACATAAACATGATTTTTCATTTTTTCTTTAAAGTTTAATGTGAATTGCAATATAATGTGGAAAATCTGGTTGAACTTTACTGAATTTGCTGGAAATTTTTTTTTACAGAAACAAAAAACATAATCACGTGATTTCTTGAACATGCCGTAACATGTTTGTTTCGATTTGAGCAATTACATCTTTTTGACAATGTATTTTATGTGAATTTACTTTTTTCTCAAATCATCGTTTTTGGTTTTTATTCCTATCAAATAACCCAATATTCAACAATGTTGAATACACATGGGAGGTTCAACAAGTGAATAGATAACGAAGGTATTGTTTGAATTTTCATCTGATTTACTTTTTCAATCAATTCCACGATAAAAATGCAATTTCAAAGATTTTATTCCCGAACTCAATATGCCGTTCGACATTAAATTGATATTCCGATATACAATATTCATAACTTTAGGATTTATATCCTAGAAAGCTTCATATTCAACAAAATAAAATGCATCAAACATCTAATAAAGTTCAAATGAAGCAGAACGATGTAACAAATAAATGTTGATTTTAATAATCAGACACAAACAACTGTAATTCAATCATTGGAGAAAGTAAGGGAAGAGCAAATAAATTAAAGGCAAACAAACTTACAATATATTTTCAATTGAGTGAGGACAAGATTTCCTAATAACGATGATTAAGATGCTGATGACTCATAAAACCATTGACAATCTCGTTACTCAGATTCAACCCTTAGCCAATATGGCGACATTTATTGTACAGTCATATAAAATCCTTTATAAATCTAATCTTCTTAAAGATTGCATAGAAGTAGCTGATTTATAGGATGAGGATGTGAAGAAGTTTGTTTTTAAAAGCTTTGAGGATCAGGGACGTAAGAAGGAATTAGGAGTATTCGCTCTTTCTCGTTTTTAACTACGCTTCAAATTTTAGATGAATATATTTTAACATGAATTATATCTTGTTGTGATCTAGTATTAAGCTGGTATGTAATTCGAATTTTTCACCCTTATCAACAATTCCTTTGATATTGCTTACATACTGAATTTTTACATTATCATGAAGCAAAGCGGAACATGGAAGTAAAGTCATTTGATGTTTAATAATTCTCAGTATATTTTGACGACATTTTATGATGGTTTGAATTATAAATGATTTAGCTAAAGATGCAAGGTATGGAATTAGATTCTAATGCAAAGGAGATTTACATAAGGGATCATAAGAATTATTAAGTTATCATGCATTGTGTTTAAGGATTTTTTTTTAGATTTTCGAGAATTTTCAGAATAAATCTTGAGTTATCACGCCTTGGATTTAATCTTTAAACATTTACATGAATTTTAAGCTTAAAGTCTTTGATTATTCACCATAGCTTCGAAAGAGAAAATTCAATTAAATTTTATCAAAAAGAAAAAAAATGTTCATAAATTGGAAAAGTTTCTAGGAAGTTCAATCTCGAATGTCAAATTCATTCCGTACTATTTACCAACATACGTGTTTACCTTCATATCACATGTTTCATGAACGGTCTTGCTCATAAACCAGCACCTTCCAATTATCTACATTTTTGAGTGATTTTGTTATGAAATTCAACGAATTCCCACTTCAAATATTTTTTTGGAATTGAGAGTGGGGAAGCACTTATGGTACAGATATAAAATTCTAGATAAAAGCTTTGGATTGAATAAATTATTCTAGATACCAAAATAGACTCAACAGTTGATAAAAAATTGAATTTATAATTTTTTTTCCATTTCATGCGATATTAAGGACTACTCATGACGTTTTATTAAAAAAAAAATTATGTTTTTGAAGTTGTTCATAAATGACGTTTAGGACAATGAAAAAAAGGAGGATTAGGCACAGCTAAAATTGAAAAATTCGTTTACACCGCTTAGAAATAAAGAAACAATTCAATTTTCTGAAAGACGTCATTTGCAAACGATCCTTTACAGACAAAAAAGCTTCAGCATGCTTCAGCATTACAAACTAATTTCCATAAAACCACGCTTAAATTAAAATGATGAATGAGCAAAAAATAATAATTTTCCGTTATGATTCAGTAAGAGAAGCACCACAATAAAGGTTTCTTTTCGGCCATACAGCAAAAATCATAGACTTGATATCCATTGAATAACCGTCTATAGATTTATTAATGATGTAAGAAAGTTTGCTTTTGAAATATTACGGCTAAGAATTCCTGAAGTTTGTTATTTCTGTATAATACCAAGTGATTGACATTCGTATCCTTTTTTACTGAAATCTTTTCTTCTATTCAAACGCTTTGATGCAGAATTTTTTTCAAGAAGGAATCAAATTTTTCTTAGTCCGTAAATAAATCTCAGAAGATTCTTATTAATTTACATGTTTGGCATTAAATAAATCATAGCTTTCTATTGCTATTTTATTCAGACATGATTGTAAAACCTTAATGCTTTCAAGAAAGAGGACATTCAAAATCATAAGATTGGATGTTTTATTTGATAAAGGAACGGAAATCAGGATCAAGATTTTTATCGCGGCTAGACTGCTTTTTTTTTCTTGAATCGAAAGAAACTTTAATTTTCTATGATTCACAAAATCATCTAGATTCTGTTTTACGAGATTATTTTCCTTTTCTTGATTCCTTTGGCAAACATCCAACTGTTTACTCATGTTCAATTGATGATTCAATTGAAATTTTTGGAGGGATTATTATTGTTAATAGTTGAGCTAATAATTTGGAATTAAACGTCAGTAGCTTTTATTAGCTATAAATTTGAGTTTTAACGAGAATCATTTAAAATTAAAAAATCACAAGTGGAAATTTTAAAAAAAAGTTATCACAAGAATTTCTAAATTAATTTGAATTCATTTCAATTTGAACAAATCCAAAAAATTAAATCACAATCATTTAATTCCGAGTAATTAAGCAGAAAATAACCTTACCACAAACACAGCAGCTTATTAGGATCAAAATGAAGCCACAAAATAATTTATTAACTTCCATTTTATTTTCACATTAATATCTTCCCGTAAGTCATCAGTAATATTTTTGTAAGTCCACAAATTATCTAGTCTATTTCACAAGCTTTATAATTTTTATCTATCTGTTCACATTCGAGGACGAAACAAGACTGAGGCACAGGATTGCGAAAGAATGAATACACATTTTTCCTTTTCCATTCATATTCGCAAGCGATGAGCATAGCAGAGACATGAAAAATGCTCTCAATTGAGAGAATAAAACGTGCTGTCATGGCTTTTTTGTTGGGAAATTCTCTCACATGTTGTTATTATCTCTTGTCACAACTTGTTGATGTTAAGTGATAACCACTGATGCCGATGGAAATTGTCTTCTTTAAATTCAATTTTAATAGAGAATTTAGTTCATGTAACTACATCCTGAACATGTGTTGTTAACGTTACTTATAAAATAATTGGATTAAAGTTCATTTATCTAGTGCAATTACTTCCTTCGTGCTTCCTTTTTAAATTATGCTCTAATTAATGGAAAACCGAAACTTTTTTCATGCCTTATTTGTGCCAAGATGATACTTTCCGGAATGTAATTGCTTGAGGGTAGTATCAGATACTTCTAATTGTTTGTAAGAAGCCTGAATAGTATATTTATAAAAATATTTACTTGGTAGTCATGAGGGGGTGGTAGAAACCTAAATCATAAAGCATGTATCAATAAATTATCATTGATAACGAATCTCTGTTCTGAGAGTGCTTTATGCGAATCGTTGCTATGTTATTGTCACTTGTGTGGTTTCAATTCCCGGTAGATATATTCAGTTATTAATGTAAAATTGAGATGCTTCATTTTTTGAAGATACTATAAACTTCAGCTTGTATTCGATGAATCTTACGATTGTGCTTTATTTACAGAATCAAATTGAATGCTTAGTTAAAAATTTATTTGAAAGTATTTTGAATTATGAATAACCCCAATGCTAGCAAACAGAAATTTTTGAGTTCTTATTATTCGAACTTCGAATTTTCGAGGTTCTTATTTTTCGAAAATCGAATCTTCGAAGTTCTTGTTTTTAAAAAAATTCGTTGTGAATTATTATTTTTCGAGTAATTTGTAATTTTGGTGAACATTCCTACTAGTTTTTATGATTAAGATAATCACTGTGATGAAATTGCATTTCTTAAATGTTAATGCTTTAAAAAACACCTAGTTTAAAAAAAAAATAAAAAGTAACAGACTTTCTTATTTTGAAATTTTAAAAAAATACCGCGCGAAAATTTTGAATTTTTTTTTGTTTGTAACGGTCTCTGTTCTTTGCTAACATTGGGAATAACCTTAATGTAATCTGATTTCTGTTGTAAGCAGATAAATATAATTTTGAATATGAATTCAATTGAAATTTTTTTTACTTCTTGCAGATGAAAATAAGTCATTCAAAGTAAATCAAGTCTAACAACAAATATTAAGTTCATTGAATGCTCATTGAAGTTTATAAATATAATTGATTCTGAGAAGTCTGTATCAATTTAGCCAGTAGTTCTTGGTGATTTTTATCGTTGGAGTATATTGAGGTCATGGACAGTTTGAACCATGCTGAGCTCATAAATTTTATTTTATGCATTTTATATGACCCAAAAATTAAGTTTTTATTCGTCATTCTAAAATGGTAATCAAATCAGAGCTTCAAGTCGATTATAAGTTTTATTTCATTTCATTTTTTTATTTGAAAAATCAATTCAGAGTTGACTTTTTTTAATCTAATCCGACTTCATCCAGTCGACGTCAAGCTCTGATTAAAATGAAACGACGCTAATGTTGAAATTGAATATCGAGAGAACCAGAATATATTAAAGCTATGATTTCTATTGACTTGACCAAATTACTTTAAGGTAACATAGCAACGAAGCTTTGTCGAAAATTTACAAGATAATTGACTTTTTTTCTCTCATGTCTAGTATAAATCATTCTCATAAAGTGCTTGCATAGCAGTATAACTCGAACGTTCTAAATGAACACATTAAATTAATTGGCAGGTTGGATAGAAAAGTTTGTTGATAGTTTTGTGGTCGAATCAGGAAAGTTATCCCATTAAGAGGAAAATGGATTTAAATTTAGTCCAATTTCTTTTGAATTGATTTTAATATTGAGTTTTTGATTCATACTTCATGATTTCGAACATGTGTCCCCACTCTTTCCCCCTATTCTTGAATTTGTTCAATTGATTCAGCATCATGATACTTCAATTCTCCCATTTGCATAATGTTGGAACCTTGGGTCCAGTTTCTAAATCTATTAAATGTACTCAATCCTAGTCACGAGCAATTTTGTTTATTCGGTTGTACACCAATGATCAATTCTAAGGTATGATATCCTACGAAGCACTAGAAACAAGCCATAGAACTCCTTCTATGAAATAATCTTCAACAAAATCCAAAATAAATTCAAAATCTAGTCTAACTCTCCTAGCTCAATAAAGTATCAAGCAAAAGCTGCAATCATATGTTGAATAATTAAAATCAAATCAAAAAAGGTCCTACTCATTATTCTTCATGGTCAACGTACAAATGACACAAAAATTGAATAGAAATCATAGAAGAATGAATACAGCACTTAATTTTAATTTTCTACGTGACTATGAGAATTTTTGTTGGATTTTCGACTGAGTGCAGTACAACAGAAAGATATTATTATCTAAAAATAAGGAGAATGAGAAACCCAGGGTTGGCTTATTTGCAGTCTAGTGTCAATATTTGATTAATAAGGAAAAAAAATTCATGGAATGATATAGCATTCTATTAGCACTCAATTTATCATGTCGATAAGGATCAACAATTTTTTTTTGGTATGTTTATTTTTCATGATATTTAAGCAGTGTCTCGTTTCAATTTTTAGTTCATTGAACAAACCCACGGAATGAAGTTTAATAAAAGATCAACGAAGAATCAAGAAATGTTGTTGAAGTTCAGCAATAAATGGATGAATCACAAAAAGGACAGCAATAACAATTTTGTTGAGTACCGAGAAGAGAAACCGCATTACAATTTTCTGGCTAAAACTTGGGTAGAATTTACGAAGAATTCGAGTATTCATGCTGTTCATTATCTAACCTCGGAAACCGTAAATGCAATAGGAAAGTTCTTTTGGTTTTGTGTCATAGTAATTGGCTTTGTTGGTATGGTATATTGCTGTATCCTTTTGTCAGCTCGATTCCGATCGAATCTTACAGCAACAGTCTTTGAAACTACGAATTATCCAATAACTGAGATTCCTTTTCCTCAAATAACATTGTGCAATAACAACCATATAAATTATAATAGAACTGAGGAAGCTGTTGCTAAGTTTGTTGGGAATGCGACACAAAAGCAAAAGGAATTCTTTGTTAACTTTACTCATGTCCTTCAAAACATGATGTATGGATCAAATGATGAATTCGAGCCAGTTCTGGATGAAGGATATGATGGATTTATGGAAAATATAAAAATATCAGACATTATCTTATTCATGATGCATGATTGTAAGGAGTTTCTTATTGAATGTACTTGGCGCGATAAAACCGTAAATTGCTGTGATATATTTTCGCTACAGGTCACTGAATATAGCTATGGCTTTTCATTCAATTCATATTCAAATGTGGGCACACAGTTTGTAAATCGATCAAATCTATTTCCTTGGAGGATAGCCAATACTGGCAAAAAATCTGCATTAACAGTCTTGACCGCTCTTCATCTAGAGACGAAAGTTGAAAGGAATACAGGAATTGATAAGCCTGGAATAATTCCTTTCGTACAGCATCCACAAACTCATCCAAATACTGGTTTATTCATTTCTGTCAACACAAATGCAGCTTTAATTATAAAACCCACAGTCTTTTCTACATCTGATGATGTTTCTCGACTACATCCTGCTGATCGGCAATGCTATTATAGTGTAAGTTCCGTGTTAAGTCACACATAACATTACATAATTAAATCGCTTTAAATTCCAGCATGAAGCATCAAAACTTAAAGGATTAAGCATCAATAATCTCCCATATATGCGTGCAAACTGTATATCAGCATGTCGTCACAATCATATGATGAAATTTTGCAATTGCTCGTTCGCATTTCTATTCTTTGCCGATGCTGAAAATCCTGAATGTACAGTTTCTCAACTAAGATGCTTAGCAAAAGTCAATGATATCCTGAATATGATTAAACCAAAGGAAAAGAATCCTTATTTTGATGAGAGCGAGCAAGGTATCACTTGTGACTGCTTACCAGAATGTAACCGAATTGAATATGAAGTAACAATGGAACCAATTTATGATGACGAGCCAATATCGGAAGGAATGGTCAAAATTGATGTGCATTATGGAAGCAAAACAATGATTAAGTATCGAACCGATGTTTTGTATTCCTGGGTTGACTTGATGGTTGGTTTTGGTGGAATATTGGGTTTATTTTTTGGATGTTCATTGCTCAGTGGCGTCGAGATTTTCTTTTACTGCACAATCGGCTTGTTTCATGAATATAAACGAAGCAAGGAAGGACTTGTGAAAATAATTCGAGCAAAATTTCCCTTCATAAATTAAATTCATATTTTTTTGATGCATGAAACGTGCATTGAACCCTTGATTATTCCTTTATTAGCACAGAGACAAAGCATTTTTCTACAAGGATTTTTATAGGCGCGGCATAGTCTATATTGTGTATTTTTATCCTCCCGCATAGAATTACTTGAATAAAATGATTTTCTTAGTTGCACATGTTCTCATACTACACAACTAGCTAGTCGCACAATATGTGAAGTGATTCCGAATAAAACGACATTGTGTTATCAGGACATTACGTATATTGCGATGTATAGACGCAGGAAAATGGAATGTCTTAACCAGATGCGACGAAGATTTAAAGGCATTAAAGAATCCTTTTTTTCATAGTTTTCAATAAATTTCCTTTATAAAACTCTAGAGACATTATTCATTCAACTATCTATCCATTTGTATCCAATAAATTTTCATCAATAAATTGATGCCATCCATTTACATGTTGATATAAAATAGGCGCAGATATAAACTTTAAGAGCTCAAAATGTCATTTTTACGATGTGACGCCGCAAAGTAAAGTGAAAATTGGGTCATTAAATGAAAATTATATACGATAGATGGACAGTTTAGCGTCTTAATGGAAACTGATTTGATTGTATAGCGTAAAATGTAAACAATTGTTTTAGCTAATTAATTATTGATTTTCGTTACTTGGATAGATGAGCATTAAGTGTCGTTTTGTTGTTTACAACTGTATTTAGTTTGTAAGCAAGGATTTATGCATGGTTATTGAATTTATTGGCTTGAAAACTTTTAGTTCAAATCCAAAAATTTCAAATTTTTAAACTCTTAAAAATCAATTTCTGGAAGCTATAAAAATGCGCTTAAGATTAAGGACACTATACAAAAGCTTATGGCGTGCTATGGAATTCTTAATGCATGAATAAATAAAGGCGACAGTGATTTGAGTAAGAAGGAAGTTTAAAAGTATATCTCACCTTTATAATTCATAAGTAAACAGTATTCCTGTGCAAAAGGAAGGGACGTGTATGTTGAAGGAAGGAAATTAAGTTATCCAAACTAATTAAAACCTTTTGTTACAATTTATAGACATCTTGGGAGTTTGACTCTAAAAGGCTTGTCAAAATATTCATTTAACACGCATTTATACTCCCACAATATGATGCTCCTGCATATTTCATACTTAAATAGCTGCTTTAATTGTCCATATTGAAATTCTCAAAGGAAAATAAAAAATGAAATTCAGAATAATAATGAATGTTGTTTCATTTGACCTTTGCTAATCAACACATGCAATAGAATAACAGATAGTGCTGTCACGGTAAACTATTGATAGAAATTATTCATTTCCATTTCTTCTTTTGTATGAGCTCTAATACATCAAAAAAGGATATGTGTCAATTTCAATTTTGTTAAAGCAGAAAATTAATTTTGGCATTGTGAATTTCTAAGAAGCACACATTTCTATACGTAATTAATACTGACTATACCAATTAAATTAATCAGTGACGCGCGAAATAAGCGATAAATTTTTGACAGCTGTTACTCAATAAATAAAAATCGATAAGTTGAAACAGAAACGCGAATTAAATGTCTATGCTTATGTGAAGATTTGTTATCATGAATTAAATTGAAGTAAGTCTAAAATGCAGTTCTGGTCATACATAGTAAAATATTTTTTTAGAGATTCAGAATTTTCTGATTTAAAAAAAACATTAAGCAAATTGTTTAACTTATTTTGAATTAATGTTATTGCATTTTTACATTTGTAATTTTTCTGCATTTTCACAGTATTACTTGGATTCACTGTAGTCAGAAGATTCCCAGAAGATTATGTAAGTTTAAAATCAATTCCAAGTCTGATAAACTAATCAAACTGCTTCAATTCTTTTAACATTCTCCTCACTACAAAAACTTCAAGTTGAATATTGCAGCTTGTCAATTTTCACTAACCAAGTCCATCAGAAGATTTTCTTCTATTCGATTTTATTTCAAGTTATCAGAAAAATGAAAAATATACGCGAGCTAAAATAACATTTAATATAAAATAATCTGGATGTAATCTCGAAAAATGTGATGAGTAAGTACTTCATAAATGTGAGAGTTATCAATTAGAGAGTTTTTGGGTTTTTTCGAGTTTTTGAAAAACATTTTTTGCTGATTTTAAAGCATTTATCAGACGATAATCTAATCGAGACTTACATATATGCTCTTTAACTTTTAAACTTTTGTAAACTCGATAAGTTGGAGATATTTTGTTTATTTCTCATCATGATTACAATTTACGATTTTGACTGTTAATTAGTTTTTGGGAATCAAGATTAAAGATTAAGTTACATTTCAATAATTAATCCACAATTTTTAAACTGATTGATATGCGGACTGATCTTGGTTTAATTTCATGCAGAATATTCCGCATATTCTCATAATTTTAAAATTTAATTTTCATTTATTATTATTCTGAAATATGCTTATATTTTACATAATACATGTTTTTCTGTAAAATCCAATCACTGAATGTCGAGTGCAATTTGAATAAAAATGACAAATTGTGTTATTTCTTAATGACATTTCATTGAATTTTGTTGAATTAATTTTTAATGCACATATCAATCCTTTTTGTATCATTCTATTGTTCATCGTATTGTATTGATTGTTTTCTCAAGAAAAAAGAAATTTTAAATTAAAATAGAAAATCAAACAGAATCTTATATGCTAAATATTTTCAATAAACGATTCCTTCAATGCTTCTTGATGAATTTCATTAAAACGATAAGAAATAAGCAGATTTTGAATATCCTGAAAATGTTGATCAGTGTTTTTCAAACTTCGTGTCGCGTAATTTTATAGAAATTCAATATCTTCTATGAGAAGAATAAGCGTAGCGTCCTAAAAGTAAGTTTGTCTATATTTCAAGCAGAAACCAGAAACAAAACGAATAAGCTTTAACTGCTTTACCTCGAAAACTTTATCTTAAAAGTGCGACACTAACAAAATAAAGTTCAGCAGATATTGATGCACGAAAAGCTTTTTATATATAAAAGCACTTGAATCTTCCTCTCACATCACATCTAGCGGAAAATTGAATATAATATTCTAGAAAGCATACACGTCTGCATGTGGCACTTAACAGGAAACAACAGTATTATAATGACATAAGAAAGTTCGACGTAGCATCAGTGCCAATCATTTTATCCGATAATGTAATCGGGTTATTGAATTTGATGCCTTTTTTTCGTTCAGACTGTTTTTAACCTGACTTTTTTTTAAAATTATTTCATTTGTGATTCTGTCAGCATCAGCATATTTAATTCAACTCAATTATTCACGTTTTTTATTCGATTCAAGAAACATGTGGAAAAGAGTTTAATTCATTTACATTTTTAATACACTGAACAATTTTTCCTCTTCTGCTTCTTTCGATAATTATCAGCTATTAAGCATTATCATATTTTAATTACAAATGCAAATGTTTACTATTCGTTAATGGAACGAATAAGTATTTAATAAGTATTGTAGTTATCTTGTTAGAAAGCACGATATCTATTATTTCTATATTTGTGGGTATACATGTGATAAATACATGTATTTAGACGATGATTTTAACTTGAAAATTGTTAGCCTAGAGAGTTCGTTTATAATTTTATAGTCGGCTCTAGGCAAAGATGCGAAACTGATCAATTACATTTGATCATTTTTGACCATTTCATCGGTTCCGCACTCTGAATTCTTGCTAACCTATTGATTAAAATTCTATATATATTTAATCTGTTTCGAATCAAAATTGAAGAGTTATCTTAACTTGTTGTCATCATCAAAGTGAATGCATTAATAAGAAAATTAATTGTTTAAAACATTAATTTGACAAGACTTCAGCTTATATGTCTCAAAATTTAACAAGAAATTGAATGAGATAATCAAAATTCCATAATTAAGTTGAACAATATTAAAGACTTGAAAATGATTTGCATTGAAAATAAGCAATTAATTATAACATCTAGTTAAATCATATATGTGAAAAGTAGTAATTTTCATATTACAGGAGAATTTTTTTCAATTTATGTACTGTCAATCATAGCAAAACGTTCAAAGTGAGAAACATCAAAGGAAAGTTCAGCTTTATGAGTACAAACCAATGAAAACCTCAAAATTAGAAGCTTTTGAAGTGAGAAAATCATGTATTGGTTTTTGGTAGGTAGTTTTAATTACTTTTTTGTTCAAGCTGAATACAATGAATCTAGTTAATGAGTATTTCATTATAAATCTCGTATAATTTGTGTCCTTCATTGAGGCAAATCAAATTTCAAATGTTAAAGTATAAAATATTACCTTAAAATTCGTCCTAGACTCGAAAGCTTCGTGGATTCACTTTAGATTTACATCGATAACAACAAATTGCATCATTGAACATTTCTATCACTTTAAATTTTCGACAGTAACGATAAATAAAAAATTTTGTGTGAATATGATAAACCATAGATTATTATGATTAAGTCGCACTCGATAAAACTAGATTCTCTATAAAAGCACCAATAATACAATAATTCCTTAATCCATCACAAATTCCCCATAAATTGTGATTTACCTATTTCGAAAATTTAAAGGTAAACAAAAAAGAATCACCTCGACTTAACATAGATTATCGATAAGGCCTCGTATATCGCATCTAAAATGTTTTTTCTATTAAATTACTAGCATTGAGGGAAAAATTACCGCAAATTATACATTTATTTGATATTTAAATATCAGCCGCATCCTGAATTTATTCATGATTTCAACATATCAATTTAATTGAATCAACTTCAATTCATGATAATCAAGAGCATGTTAATTTTCACTTAATAAGAGTTATTATCGTGAATTAATTAAAATGAGTTGGGGGGTCTTAGGTTTTTGAAAAATGTTTTCACATTCCAAGAAATAAATTTTTTTGAATGCAAAATTTCTTTTATTGTCAAAATTTGATAAATTCTATACAAAAGTGTGACAAAAAAGTTGAAATATTCAAACTATGGACCCCCAAATTAAATTGAATAGTTTACTTACCAATTGCATTTGTGGCCAGAATCAACACTATTAATCCACAAAAAATCAACATTATTATTGAATTTTTTTGTCCTTAACTTAATTATTTCTTCACAATTTTTCCACCTCAAAATATTATTTTTATTTTTTAAGCAACTTATTAATCTCAAGAGATTTAAAACATTAAACTCTTATTAAGCTCTGCACTTTTCCATCCATCACGTTTAAAGGATAATACGCAACTAACCTTACATGCTGAACGTAAAAGCTATGTAGAATGAAAACCAACATGTTATTTTATTCTCATTTTTCGAGTTTCATTCTCTCAAAGAACTCTCCTTAGTACTCAATGGCTGAGTAAAACAAAATCGAAAGCAATTTTCTCCCTTATCAGCCGGTGCTTTTTTTTGTGTGTTTTATTATTATCATTATGCCACCGTTTATTTCATAAAGAAGCGTGCAAAATTGTTTGTCATTAAATAAAATTCATGTAAAAAGGAGATAAACATCTCATGACACGACACAAGGTCGCGAATTTTAATAGAGAAATGGCAATTAATTTTATGCGAATAATTAAAGTTCGTTGACATGCTTTTCTTGCATTGTCGAAAGCTTTATAGGGGGCTGGTTTAGGTTTGAACTTTAAATAAAGAACTGGCTGCTAGCTTATTGCTTTTTCAAAATTACGTTAATGTTTCAACATCTCAATCTGAATATTCGCAAATTTCTGGACAATGAAGGTTGAATTAAATTTTTGCTCTAGTTCCATCAGGTCTTTGAATGCTATAAGAAATTAATTTGTTAAAAGATACCAAAGATATCAAAATCAAATAAAGCTACATCAAAGGTGCTAGCAAGTGGTGTTCACACATTGGAATATCTTTATAATGTGCTGCTTTTGTGGCTGTAAAGAAATAAGATTTTGCTTAGTATTCTGATTTATAATATTCAGTTCCAGTTTCTACTCACAACTAGTAAGCATTTTATACAGAACAGAATTCTTAGGAAGTGAGTTGATGTACTGTTGAATATCCAACATTCAAACAACTCCATTACGAATATTCATATTATGTTGCCTCTCCACATCATTATCCCAATTTGGACTATTAATGAAAGATGAAGAAGAACGTTTAAGGATATCTTACTAAGAATGGCAAGAGGCTATCATAATTGACAGAACTTACAAACGATCTCAATTCCTATCTGCGTCTATTTGATTAAATTCTTCATCCTCTTTCTTATGCCAATTTGGATCTTGTGGAATATTAATTGTCAAAATTGGAACTGGTGAATTAGAGAATCCACTTGGACTGTAACTTTGCTGAGGAATATTAGTGAATAACTGAAGGTTAACATATTGCTGGGGGTCATAATTCTGTGGATCAAATTTTAAAATCAAGGAAAGATCCTGACCCATGTAATACTCTTGAAGCTATGTAACAATTCACGTAGATCTCTAAATGCTTCATCAAAATCCAATTTTAATATTGACGTCATTTTTGAACAATCTTATTAAAAAAGTGAAAAATTCATGTCCCTAATCAACAGAACATAAAAATTCTCAAGCATAACAGTCGCACATGCACTTTCCACTCCCATAAATTGTCTCACAAATCATACAAACTTTAATTAACCCAAATTTAATTAGCGGAGATGGAAAAGGAAGGTAAAAAGTTTATGACTGCTGTTAATTGATTTTTACAGGACATACGATGATTTTATATGATTTACAAGATAGATAGGAATAGACAAAACAAGCGTCATAAAGGTCAATATACATCCTGCACTGCATTTGTTTTATATGCCATATCTAGTTACAAGTAAGAGACATCCACGATCATAAAAAAACATTTCCGTCACACAAACATTTAATTTCATTCTGTGCGTCTCACCTGAAACTTCATATCGCTGCAAAGTGTAATAGACAATTACCGCCTATGTGCTATCGAATGACGAAAACAGGGGAATTGCCTTTTGGGGGTATTAAAGGCACTCCTTATTGTTGGTAAGGATATTTTTAGAAGCATTTAGTTTACGTAGACAATGAGAAATGTATAAATGGACTGTTTTGCTAGCATTGCTCTTACTTTGACGAATCCTATCCAGTTCCAATCAATCATCATCTATTTTATGATAATATTATGCTTGGTCCACAAATTAATGCATAATATTATTCATTGAAATATCGTCATTTGATGACAGTAAATGGAGTGAGTGGAGGCAAATGGTAAAGTTAATTATAGATACTCATTTTATGGCAAAGGCTAATAAACAGCAATTAAATCTGGAATTATTAATTTGACGTTTGAAAATACTGCTTATCTACTGCTCATTTATGGCTTCAATAAATTAATTTATTTACAATATTTCTGACGGTCAGGAAGGTATTATGACTTCAGTTGTTGATGATTATAGCATCGATGTGTGATTAATCGGGGGGCGAAGTATAGAAGGTGGATTTCAGGGATTCTAGCTCTTTCTATCCTTCAAACATTCGATGTTTTGGAACTAATAAGAATTGCCTTTTATTCCAGGCAGAATTTGCAGTCAATGTAGACTAAGCAATGTCATCTTCGAGCTCTGGTCTTATTCTTCTCTTTAGGAAATTCTAGCCAAGTGGTGGCAATTGTTTTTCGACTCTAGACTGTGTCCTCTGAAGCAAAGATATAAATGATGATAAAAGCTACACAGATCTATAGCTTCAAATTAATCAAAAATTCCCCAATTCAAAACTCAATCCAAAAAACCAACACAAGACTTTCCATAAAGGATGTCAAGTCTAAATAAAAATTCTAATGACTTTTTTGCATCACACTTTAATGACATTTAAATTTTCACATTATTGCATAATTTTCAACATCATCATAATCTCGTTGATAGTTTATTGCTGCATTATGACTTGTCATCTTTAGAATCTGATTATCCTTCACACACATTTTCATTCTTATTTAACATATAAAGCGGCAATTCCTTTCATTGTTCTCCCTTCTATGTTGAATCTTTTATGAATTTCCTTAAAATTGTCCATTATAGCTGTATACTATACATGGAATATATTCTTGATAGCGTGAATTGTTATGCGTAGACGACATTACAAAAGCGACATCGAGGAAGTAATATTCTTCGTCTTACTACTTCCGAACCCTCACAAGAACAGTTTTTCATTTTTTCCGACTGAATTCTGTGTCATGAAATTTTAATGGATAACTTATTCTATGCTGAGTATCAGAAATAATGTAAGTACATTGCTTGTTGCATTAACTACACTAATAGAATATTAATTTGTTAATGTCAGCATTGACCATGAACGTGAAATATCCATTCAATGTTCTGCAAAATTAATTATGAGATCATGATGCAAGATAAAAAGGAATTTACAGGGGATTTTTATTTATGTCTCTGTATAGGATGTCGATTGAATAGCAAGTAACGTAAAAGCTGCTCATTCTCAGTGGAAACAATGTTCTCAGGATTTCTGAGGCTCGAGTTTGACTTCCGATCAAATGTTCAATCAACATTGAAGTCGTGCTTCCTTAGATAAGCTAATATGCTAGATCAATCTAAACTTCCAGATTTTTTTGACTCAGATGACATGGAAAGGTCCCTTAACAGTTTTTACTTTGTTCTAAAGTCACACCTGCTTTAGTTCCTATCTTCAATTGCTAAACCTAGGGCACCTAGGGCAGGGATACAAGTACATTGGTAACAGTTAAGCAGTTAAGTGCCTTGCTGGTCGAATAGGTAAGGCGCTTGGCTCGAATTTGGTATGGTAACTCGAAGGTCGTCGGTTCGAATCTAGCCTTTTTCCAAATTTGTTCTTTTTCAGAAGTTTAGATACTTCGACTGCTTAATGTACGAGATCAAGCCATAATTGGGCATTTGGGCAACGTTGGATTAAGGAACGGATCAGGAACTTGAAGTGTAGCGGGAGAAATAGGAACGAGAGCTACAAGATTACCTTATAATGGAATATTGTCAGAACGGACCTGAAAAGTATCACGTCACGCCCACAGAAGATCGAAACGAGAGCCTGAATTTAATCGAAACCTAGATTTGAAGATTAGAAGCTTGATTCTACGTCACCCATAGTGATATGAAATGTATCACTAATCAATGTAAAATGTTTCTAGGTTACCTAGGGTGCCTTAGTATACACCTACTTGTATCCTTACCCTTTGTACTTCAAATTTTTAAAAAAATTCTTTCAACTAGAATCTAGGGCTACTCGGAGCACACCTTGCTATGTATATGACCATAACTTTCATACAACCGTTTTCTTATCAGCACATCATACTGCTCTCATCCTTAAAAAGAACTTTCTTTTCATGCATTTTTTATTTACGTTGAGCAGATTCTCAGTCGTTAAATTCAAGATAAGGAATTTCATGAAACTCAATGTTGGTCGGAAGTTGTTTATTCGGATGTAATGAAAAAGTAGAAAAATATTTTTGTAAACAGTCGATTTTTTACTACGCCGTCCCACGTGAAATATAATAAAACAAATCGATGAATAAAATTTTTGCGCGTTTTACTTTTCAGTCAACTGTGTATGCCTTTAGGCTTCTATGAGGAAGTAATTTAAAAATTGAATTGAGTTATGAAAAAAAATGTTGCATAAAAGGATTAAATCTGTGTATTGAGGGAACTGTGCGTAGGTGGTTGTTTCCATTTATTCGTCTTAACAGATTAAATGCATGCTCAATGATACTTTAATATATTAATTGAGCATCATAGCTCCCAATAAGACTCACTTGATGATATTTCACGTTCTAATTCATTCAAATTATGCGAAAACTTTCTGCAGCCTTTCTTATTTACATTAAAAGAATCTCAAAATGCTGAAAGCTCAAACAATTAAGCATTTCAAGTTGCACGGAACTCATTAAAAAGTAGACTTAAGCATAAAAGTCTTGTTTATATTTCTTGCAAACTTTTTCTTCAGAACGACTCACGTACTCCAAAAAATTCATAATAGTAAGCATTTCAATTTCTGAGTTTTGTTCGTCATAAAGTTCACATCGAAATATTTTTCTTTCATTACAATTTTTATTTTTGTGAATAAATTTCAGCAATTTGCTCATGCTCTAGGAGAATCTCTGAATTATAGACACAATGGAACGAGGAAAGATGTATCAAGGAATGCCAGAATCGAGAAACATGACGAGAAATGAATTTGTTGCTATCAATAAAGGACGGGTAAGAGACAAAAGAATAAACTTTTTTGTTGGCTTCGTAAAAATCCAGAGGTGCAGGAAGAGATTTGTAAAAGCGTGTATTATAAGTATCGAAGGGGGTTCAAGGATCTTTTTTCAAAACATTTTCAAATTTTCCGAAAGTCTAGTTTTTGTTTCATTACAAATTTCAATCTTTCAACCTGAACCTGTTTATACCCCAACGGCTTTATCTAGTAGGAACTACCTCTCTGAATCTCCTTAGACGTTGTATAGTCTAGGTTGTTGAGCAGGTTGGTCGTAAAACTCCTGAACTGACCTAGAATACTTAAGTTTGCCATATTAGGAACCAGATTTCACTGAATGAGCAGTTATCAGTTGAGCAGACAAGTCTGCAAGTGAGATAATGTCAAGATTAAGGTATTAGAGCTACTTTTGGCACCGTTGAGTATAAAATTATGGTAAAATATTTTGCAGTGTACAGTAGGATAGTCTGGATCTTAAACTTTAAAACCAAACGTACAGATCTAATAAAATGTCTTAATCTGATCATTTTTTTATCAGTTTCAATATTCTTGTGCATAATGGACCCAATAAAGTCTAGTTTTCATGTTACTTAATCCTGAATAAGCTGTATCTGTATCAAATTCAATCAATCTATAACTCGAGCAATACCTCTGAAATTTCAACAAATCCATCAATCAATCTCTTTATTTACAATTACAGAATACACGTCAGGTTACAATGGATATCCCAAAGAATGGACATCCACTATCAAATTACATCTCATCGAAGCATCACAGCGAACGAAAGAATCCAACAATAATCCAATCCAAACCACCGACGTCTCGTGCACGTGACAATGTGAAATTCGAGTATACAGATAATATCCCGAGAAGCTGTCATCAGGAACAAATAAGAAAAGTTTGCAACAATAAGCATTATTCAGCACAGAAAAAGGAACTGTATGACTCAATAGCTAATGATAATATATACAATAGTTGTATGGAATCGGAAATTGATAGTGTCTACAGCAGTAGCTGTTATCATGATGACGATAATGAAAGTGAAATGGAATCTCTTTACGATCATGATGAATATACACATCGTGCATTACTACGAATGGAGACAAAAGTCAATACAATAACGAATAAATTTGTTAATAAAGTCAAGTCTGAAGTTGATGAGACATTCAGCAAGTTAAAGATCCAGTCAAAATTTAATAGTACAAAAGGAAAGACTACAAAAGTCGATAAAGGTGCCGGAGATACAGCTAAGAAATCTCATGATACAGTCGAGAATGATACAGTAATAAAGGATATGCTTAAAAACAAGCGGGAATGCTATGAGAAAATTGAGCAGCAATTGAAGATTTTACAGCAACTTGACCAACTTACTGATAAATTGTACAAGAATCATATGAAGTAATAGAATTGATATCTATAGCTGTAATTGTATTGATATTATGTTATTGAGAGTAAATAAAGGCTGATAACCTGAATACGTCATTCTTGACGAATTTATGAATATGCTTTATTTAAATGGGGGGTTGTTTAGGTATAATGTGGAGCTAGAATGGATGAATGTTGCATTTTTTGGTAAATTTCATGGTCATTTAAAATTTAAACCCCTTTAAATTGCACCTGAATTGTCTTTTATTGGCAATCATAGACATAACTTTGGAAATTTTGAATTTTTACACGCCTTTAGCTCTCTAGTTGAGTATTAAGTCTTGGTCATCATCCACAAACTCCCCCACCTTTAACCAGGCCAGTGCAAATTTACATAGGACTAAATAATCATGCAATACATGCTTTATGTCAACAACAAAACCGATAACATAGAAAAAGGCAATAAACCATATTTAAAGATATTCACGTTATGCTCTCATGCATATACTTCGATACGACGACCAACACGTGTTTGTGGGAACGCTTAATTCCAATCTTAATCACGAGACTCTTTCTCCTTGACATTTATTTCATTAGCTGATGAATGAAATTGACATATGCATTAACAGATTTTTTTTGGAAGGTCATCAGAATTTGGATGTGGTACTTAAAGCTGTAAGGACTTGTTTGGATGCCAACAATTTACATGAAATTACTTAAGTGATCAGCATTTGAATGTTTATTGTAATTTAGATATAACTTTGGAAAGGGGGTTGTTCGTAAATGATGTCCAACTACTAGGGGAGTTTCGTGATACTTTGAACCGATAAAAAAAGATATAAATGTTTTATCACTGAGTCTAAAATCCTTTTTGTTTTGTGATGTCATGCAAGACTATACAATTTAAGACTTTAGTAAACATTGACAATGTCTGGCTGTAAATAGAAAAGTTGGATGTGATTAATCAGGATTGTGGATTAAAATAGCGCATTACGGATGTTTGAATTTGTTATTTTGAAGACATTGTCGAATAAGCATTTTTAATAACAAAAGTATTATCAAAGTTGACATTGGAATATTGTAAAATTAAATTAACTTTAGTTGAAGTTGATGCGTTGATTAAAACAGTGATTATAAGTAATAAGTAATAAGTAATAATAATTACAGTTCACGAATTTTTGAGAAATGTGAGTAAATTTAAATAACATATATATTAAATTGCCAAATTTGATTGAAGTAGTTGATAGCTTAAGCTTAAATTATCTGATTTGACCAATTTTTGTGGTTGGATGTAAAGTGGGTTCGAGTCCCAATATAGCATAATATTCTTTCAATCACTTATAGCTGTGCTCTCTTTTTTGATCGATGGTTTATTTTTTTGTATTGGCACAAACATAATTAAGCTGGTCAGCAGCACAGAAACAACGTTCAATTCTCCGAAATAATTAGCAACAATATGAATAGTTAAAGCTTAGTTTTGTCACACATACTTAGCGCCTGTAAATACTACAAAACCACAATACACCCAATCTGAATGAACAGCAACCAATAGTTATTCTGAAAACATCCACAAAAGCTTTATGAATGCATATTTAGCGAGAAAAACAAAAATATCATTTCCAAATATATAAAAAAAGCGTGTAAAAAGAAACTTTAACAGCTCGCCGCTTATTTCTTTTATTCATATTTCTTAGATTTATGCTTTTTATGAGACTTTTTATGTGATTTTTTCTTCTTGGATTTCTTTGACTTTTTAAGTTTGTCTTTTTCAATCCACTTTTCTTTTTCCCTACTCGATGATTTGACTTTTTTGAGCTTTTTCAATAGTTTCTCATCCAAATTGCTGTCAGATGACGACGTGTCATCATCAGTGCTGTTTTTCTGATTGTTTGAGACTGTTGGAGTATTTTTCGGAAGTGCTGGTCCATAAATTTCTTCCTCGTCCTCAATTGTGTCATTTTTAGCATGTATTGATGTTTTGGATGTCGTTGGACCTAATTCAAATATACTTTTGAAAATTCCTCTCGGAGGCGAAGCATTTCTAAGGACATTAATTTCACTAGCGCTTTTCGTGTTCAGGAAGCTCTCAATGAATGAAGACTTCTGTTTTTCTGTTAGAGTTGAGTTTCCTTGAATAGCATCGGAACTTACTTTTTGAACTCCTTCCGCATTTTCTTGTGAATTATCGTCTTTGTCTTCGTCGTCACTATCACTATCACAAAATATTGCTTTAAATAAATCTTTCTTTTCTTCCGGCTTTTTGTGAATACTTTCAGCTACTTTGATTTCTAATTCTGTCTTTGGCGGGTCGGGTACGATTTTCTTGACTTCTTTTACGTTGTTCACTTCCGATTCTTTATGAATTGAGTCATTCTCATTGAAGAAATCTTTGGCTGTTGCTCGTTTATTCATAAATGATTTTTCTTTCTCAATTGCAGCTAGAAAACTCTTTTTTCTCTTTTCCTCCTCGTTCTGCCTGTTATGATCTTCTTTGAGTTTTCTTGGTATGACTTGTGGTGCTACAAAATTTGCTTTCGTATTTAATGGAACTCCAATGTAATCAAATAATGAGCTAGATTGTTTTTTCTTCTTTTTCTTTTCTGCTTCCTCGTCATACATCATTCCACCAAATGGCTCGGGGATATTAAAAAGCTTGCAGAGAACTTTGTGTGGTTTCCACATCACTTTTGTACGTTCAATGACAATTACTTCTTTTCCATCTTTAAGTTTCTTTTTGACAATTTCTGGTTCCGTATTTATGTCTGATTCTTTTATAAAGCGACTTCCTATTAGTGAATCTAGTGGCTGATACATACGTCTAGCTTGAATGAATTCCTTCTTTTCCATTTCACGCTCAAAAGATGACATTGAAAGTGGCTGGATGTCGTTGAAGAATTTATCGATTGTTGCTTCATCTGAGGCTTTAAAGGTTAAATACTTCTCGTACCTAAGTGGAAGAAAAGGATTTTTAATTGGGCCTCGTCACAAAAAAAATTGTACGTGAGTGACGCTTTATTATTCTTGATTATCTCCTTATCCTTAAAAGTGACAAATTTAAGAGTTACTTTTTTGAAAAGAGAATTAAAATCCCCATCTATTGTTGTACAATTCACTTCTTGAAACTTTATAGTCACTTAAATAAATCACTTTAGCTAAGCGTCACTCACGTACAATTTTTGGGAATTTTGCTATATCTTCATTATTGCTTATTGATATATCTCCAAATGTATTTTTTTAAGTCCGAAATTCAATTTTGTTCATTTTGAGTTTATAAAAATTTTAAAATTGCTGCATTAAAATACCTAAATGGACAAAATTAAGTTAAAATTTTTTTAACGGTTTTAACTTTTTTGAATTTTTTCAATTGTAGTTTGTTTGTTTACAAACAAAATCGAAAATGATATTTGAAAAGTTACGAAAATATGATGGGGGGTAAAATCCCCGAAAGATATTAATTCCACGATCCTGCGGGATAATAACCCCAAAAATCGCAAATTTTTAAATGTTCCCTGCGGGAGAATATTCCCACTTAGAAATACACGTTGAATTATTATCCTTCCGGGAAGATAATAATCTCACCTATATTCACAAGTGGGATTATTATCTTCCAGGGAGATAATAATTTCACTTACATTTCTAAGTGGGATTATTATCTTTATGGAACACGATTAAAATCATGGATTAAATTAAATCTTATTACTTTTATGTATTGAAAAGTGGATTTATTATCTAATAGGATTTTCATCCAAAAAAAATCCCACTTATTAATTTGTCAATTTCATTATTCCAAAAAATTAAATAAGAAGAAAACATAAATATTGGTTGAATGTTTGCGTTTTAAAAATATATTATTCCAAATTGTTTAAAAAATAAAATCAAGGTGGGTTTAAGTGAGTTCAACTGATCTGAAGATGCTAGTCCTTCTTGCTATTCCTTATAAAATTATGTTCGAGATTCGCGAATTCGACCTTTTGACTCGAATTAAGTAATTTCTAATCTTTATTAATTGTCTCCATCTTTTATTTATTTAAATTAACGGATATTTTTTTTTGATTTTTGAAGTAATTTGCAGAGACATACACCTTTTAATCTAGTCCATCAGTTTCAAATTTTATTCTAATCGTTAAAGTCAATTTTGTAAATGTTTATACAGTTTTAAGTTCTTAAACGATATTTATATCACTGTAACTTAATGTAATTGTTCTTTTTTTTCTGGAAACATAATCAAGGTTTTTATGCCACCTGAAAATGTTTAAATACTGTTCAGGTAGCTTTTCCTATGAATAAACAATTAATAATAATAATAATAATAGGGTAAACCATGTTAAAATTTGTGCGCTCACATAAAAAAGAAATCAGCCCAAATAAGCCATTTAAACCAAAATTTTGTTTGCAACTCTGTGTAAAACGGTTGTACAAACATTTCTACATCATTTTGAACAGTCTCGAAGCTTGGAGCAGCTTTAAATTTGAAAAATTCAAATTCCCATACAAAATTGTGATTTTTATATTTTTAAATATTTGGACGTAAACAGTGCTGCTTGTAATCAAATCACAGTTTTAATATAAAATTTGATAATTGCTTTATTGTTTCAAAAGAAATTCAAGTAATAAAAATCATTGGAAGTGCTTTAAAAATTGATTTTAAAATTTCTTGATTGTAAATGTTAAAATTTGTGCGAAATTTTATTACAAATTTTGAAATTTGTGCACTTTTTGTCGTAGAAAGCGATGGGAATTTTTGTCAACAACAAATATTATTTACGTATGAAATTCATGTTTTTATAGAATTTTACGAATAATAGCATAAATGGAACTACTGAAAGTCAAAAACTGATAATAGCTGATAAAAATGAAAAACGTGGATCATTTAAAATTTTAGATAAAAAAAAATGCAAAAGACTTCAAGAATATCCATACATTCAAAAAGTATATCCTGTCTAGTGTTTAATTTCAGATCTTTAAATTTCCTAATTCTCATCACTTTATTGTTAAAACTCTATGCTGCATAAAATTTACAAAAAATGAATTCCTTTGACGGTTGTAAACTCAGTCAGCTCAAACTGAGTTAAATCTTGAATCTTGCATTATTTCTTGAGGAAAAGGTTTGAAACAAATCAGCTTTATGTTCTTAATTTCATTTAAAGTTTATTCAAAGTAGTTTCTTCAGCAAAAATATCAATTTCTGTTTCAAAAATATGTAAATAAAATGTTTGTAAAAAACGCACAAATTTCAACATTTTTTCGCACAAATTTTAAAATTTTCCGCATCCATAAGCAGCATATCCTTCAAAAAACATTATTAACTGAAAATTCCCACAATTATTGATCTTTTGACCCCATTAGCAAATTTTCATCATCAGTCATTAGCAAGTTATTTGCAAATCAAATCCCCATGTGCAAAAGCACACAAATTTCAACATGTTTTACCCTAATAAAATTCAAAGCTTCTTTTGAGCATAAAATGAGAAATTAACATGAATAAAAAATAGAAAAAATTGTTGTGCAATCAAAAAAAAAAAAGAAATGGACATGAAATTGGTGTTAGCCTGTCCATATAAACAATTTTTTTAAAAAAAAATCTCGATAAGGGCAATTCTACGAAAAGGTTTAATGAAAATAATCCGTGTCAATTGCATGAAATTTTTTAATTATTTTATTTTCATTTGTGCATAGTTTTTATAAATCTATTTCTCATTTCCTTTTCTATTGGTTAAACTGTGAATTATGATTACATCTGCACTCAAATTACTTAGCTATGGCTTGAGAAATTCATGGTTTTAATTTTAATATTTGGTAGTTTTTTTTGGAATTGTCTCCAAATTACTCTGCTTCACTTATGAAATTTTTCGTAGAATCCAAATTGCAGCTTAATTAAGGCTTCCACAAATATGATTTTAAAATCGTTTTGAAGCTTTTACTTTAAGCTATAACTTTGTATACTTAGTATTACTGGAAATTTTACCACCTCACAATGATTCAGATTTGAAAAAAATGTTCAAAAATTCAAAAATAACAAGTTAATTAAACTATATGTTTTAAATGCTAGATTAAAGAACATGATTTGTTTTATGTTCTGTAAAAATATCTCATTCCAATATGTTGTCTAATTCACAAAAATTCGATTCTAAGATGACAATCAATTTGTTTACAAAATGACAACAAATAATTTTCTTAATTTTTTTCTCATTTCTACTTCTAATTTCTTGTTTTAATGCTGATAACTAGCTTAATTAAGCTTAGTACTTTGTGTTTGTGTGAAGAAACCAAAAGAAAACCTATTAATTGGGCGAATATTCCTGATTAATTTTTTTGAAATTTACCAAGACTTTAAACACTCATAAGTTAAATTCGCGTCTTTCCGCTTCTACCAAACCTATTTAAATATAAAGAACAAAGTCTAATTAACCTTCCGTATTAATTTGTACATGCCCAAATATGCCCGAAGCGAGATATTTGCGATTGAAAATCAGTTAATTTTTCATACAAATTAATATCGTGCGCCAAATTTTTTGATAAACATTTGTAAAATTTCTACAAAAAAACTTATTTATTCTCAATTTCATGACTTAATATTTTGAGGAATCAATAATCAAGTAAGATTAAAGGCATTAAAAGTCCTAAACTAGAGAATATCAACAAAAAATTTCATTACTTCAATGTGTCTGAAAAATATTATGCACAAGGGTTATTTGAACATTTTTTTCAGATCTGAATCATTGTGCACCTTCAGATATTAATGAAAACATTTTGGAAATTTGGGCGAAAAAATCACATGAAACAGAGTAATTTTTCGTAGAATGTAAATAATTCTTTAATTAACCATTTTTAATATGTTTGGGTGAGAACAATATGTAGATATCGGTAAAATCTACTATTAAATACATGAAACATGGGGAGTAATGCAACTGATAAAGAGAAATATAGATTTGGAGACAAATTTGTAGAAAAAATCATTCGTAGAATTGCCCATAAACATTTTTAAATTTCTCAGTCTAAGAAAAATAGTTATTTATCATGGTTCCATAATCCAAAGTCAATGAGTTATGTTTTAAAAAAATGTTTTCATTAATTTCATATTACTGTGAAAGATTAATAAGCTAGAACATTCGGAGATAATAACGACAATTAATTCTTTGGAAACGATCTATTAAAATATTGAAAATTCAACCAAATTAAGTGAAAAATTAAAAATCTTTTAAAATTTTGTATTTTTTCACGGATTAGGATAACAAAAAGCTTTTTAATAACTCGATGACACATGGGCGATTCTCCAGAACGGTGGAATTTTTCAAAATGAGCTTTTATAATCCGTTGTCAATTATGCTTACATCATAAATATGTATTCTGCAATTTCTTTCAATATAGGATGATTTGAAATTTTAAGTTAATTTACAACCATCAATAATAATTTAATATTATTATAAATGATGAAATTTGTCAAAAGTGTAGCTTGAAAGTATAGAATTACACTAATTTCGATCAAAATATTTTGTAATTTTTTAACGGATTAGGAAAATTTAAGCTCTTGCGTTGCTGGACGTTCGGAGAATCGACGTTCGGAGTTGACGTTCGGAGGATCGATTTATCTCGATAATTAAGCTATTTTACTGGAGTTTGGAGCATAAATATTGTAAAGCAGATCTTAATCTATCATTTAGTGTACATTTAATGCTGCAAAGATGAGTATTTGGTACAAAAATTTTTAAAACACTGTTAAAACTTTTACAAAATTCCATTTTTGGTCACAAAGCAACGGACCGAAGAATCGAAATATCTTTATAATTAGGACAATTCATGCTTAGCCAAATAAAATAATCGATAGGAAATAAAAAATTATATCAGATAAACTGAAAACCTTGTAAGGTTTAGTGGAAAAGTTCGACAAAAAATTCATTTGAAGTCAAAATTTTTGCAATTTACCCTTCAGAGAATCGCCCACATATTTTTTAAAAGAATTGAAATATTCCATTATTAAATAACTTAAAGCATACAGAAAAGCTACTTAATTGTAGATTTTTGTCTGTTTTACAACTCAGCAGTTGTTATTTAATACTAATTTCAACAGTTTTTTCTAATTTTTAATCCTTCGAATGATGAAAATGGAAAATTCAGATATAAATTATAAAATAATTAACACATCGATTAGAAGTTTATGATATCGAAAGTATTTTACATTTTTTTTAAAATCGATTAGAATTATTAAATCAGGATCTCTAATGGGCAAAATAATAAATTTTCGATTCTTTCCTGAAATTTTCCAAAAGTCATTCAAATAATTGTAAATTGCCCTTAACAAAAATTAGATTTATAAATCTAATCATAATATTTGTTTACACATTTTGCTAAGAAAAATGTAAAGATTTAAACATAAAAAGAACGCAAAATTGAATTTCTGTTGCTCAAGTTCTTATTAAATTAACTAGAATTTTAAAATGATGGCAGTTCTGATGCTGTTTAACCGTGTCTACAAGCCCCAAGAAGGTTTCCAATGGTATTAAACCATTTAAGAGATTTGATTGTTTATAACTTAAACTAATGGCTTGCTAATGGCCAATAATTTATTGAAAATGTTCAGCAAATAATTAAAATGATTCGTACAAAATTCAAACGTAATATTTTTTAAGTTCTTTCATACTTGAGCTCTTTTAAAGAAAATCTTAAAATAAAACCAGTCAGAAAAAAATTTTATATCCTAAAATGGATTTTATATTCACACCGTATTCACTTTATTTTTGTTCAGTTTGAAAAACAGTTTTTCGCATTTTGAGGTAAAAAAGCAAATGGGCAAAAACAGAATTTAAATTGGTTGTAGCATTGATGGGAAAATCGCAAAATACGTAAGCAAACAAACATCAAGGCAAGTAAATCAGCAAAAATCTCAATAACGAGGCATCTTAGAGACTTCTAATTCTTGCATTTGATTCTTGCTGCGTTAAAAAGGATAAGGCTTTATTTTTTTTATTGGATAAGGTAGAAACAGCCATTGTTTCCAAAAAAGCAAAAAACCCTGCATCCTCTATCCTGTATTACGTGAATTCAAATTTTGCCAATGACAAAAATGATAAAAACGTGATTTATTAGTTCCGCACGTTTCAAATTTTGAAAAACTTCATTTCAAAACTATTTGCAAAAACAAAAAATTTAAAATTTTGTGTGAATATGATTTCTTGATTGAATAGATCTTTGATACATTAAACATCTAGGTTCTAGGCTTTTAGAAAATTTACAAAAGGCATAAAAAAACCAAGTTTTCAACTTAAACATTCAACCAATATTTATGTTTTCTTCTCATTTAATTTTTTGGAATAATGAAATTGACAAACTAATAAGTGGGATTATTTTTGGATGAAAATCCTATTAGATAATAAATCAACTTATCAATACATAAGATTAATAAGATTTAATTTAATCTATAATTTTAATCGTGTTCCATAAAGATAATAATCCTACTTAGAAATGTAAGTGAAATTATTATCTCCCTGGAAGATAATAATCCCACTTGTAAATATAGGTGGGATTATTATCTTCCCGGAAGGATAATAATTCAACGTGTATTTCTAAGTGGGAATATTCTCCCGCAGAAAACATTTGCGATTTTCGGGGTTATTATCCCGCAGGATCGTGTAATTAATATCTTTCGGGGATTTTACCCCCCATCTGAAAATATCACCCAATAATGATGTAAAAGCTCTTAAAATAGTCAGAACAACTAATGCATCATCTAATTTTCGTATTCAAATCATAATTTTTGGGATTAATGATTGAATAGCTAAGAATTTTGAGAATTTCATTTTTGATGTTTTGTATGATAGTGTTAGTGAAAAATTCATTTTTTTCCGTTAAGCAAAAATCCTTAAAAACGTCGAGACCCAATATTCAATTGGTTTAGGGGCAAATCTACGAAAGACTTTTTTATCAAAAAATCAATTTTTTGCAATTTTCTCGAAATTGTCTTATTGTTTTTGGTTCTTTTAACTTTTATATTGTGTAGAAACTTGATAGTCACTGTTTTGAATTATGAGAACATTTGTACATTAATTAATTAATGATTTTTTCCTGTTTTAAGAGCGTTTACCTGGCAACATTATCGAAACTGAATTTTTTTATTCTTTAATTTTCTCTTTTACTAGCCATTTTAATATCACAAAATGGATCTCATCAAATTTTCGCTCCTATTAGCTTCATTATGTGCTCTTATTATTTAAAATAATGGGTTAATTAAAGAGATGTTTGCAAAAAATAGCGTTTCACTGTCAACATTACAACCTTTTATTGCAAAACACAACTTAATTTGAAACTGAAAATTCCGTTAAAATTTATCAATACTCAAAATATATTTAATCAAATATGTACATTTAATGCTGAATATAATTTTAAAGTCTTTAATTTACAATTTGTTGATGTATTTAAAAGATGAATTAATGTAGAAAGGGAATTAAACCCAATTTCCTTTAAAATTTAACGTTTTTTTTTGAATTTTTCAAGTTGAGAAAAATTTCAAGTCGATTTTTACAGTACCGTTTATTCATAGATTTCACAATGATTCAGATTTGAAAAAAATGTTCAAAAATTCAAAAATAACAAGTTAATTAAACTATATGTTTTAAATGCCAGATTAAAGAACATGATGTGTTTTATGTTCTGTAAAAATATCACATTCCAATTTGTTGTCTAATTCACAAAAATTCGATTTTAAGATGCCAATAAATTTGTTTACAAAATGACAACAAATATTTTTCTTAAATTTTTTCTCCTTTCCACTTCAAATTTCTTGTTTTAATCCTGATAACCAGCTTAATTAAGCTTAGTACTTTGTGTTTGTGTGAAGAAACCAAAAGAAAACCTATTAATTGGGCGAATATACATGATTAATTTTTTTGAAATTTACCAAGACTTTAAACACTCATAAGTTAAATTCGCGTCTTTCCGCTTCTACCAAACCTATTTAAATATAAAGAACAAAGTCTAATTAACCTTCCATATTAATGTGTACATGCCCAAATATGCCCGAAGCGAGATATTTGCGATTGAAAATTAGTTAATTTTTCATACAAATTACTATCGTGCGCCAAATTTTTTGATAAACATTTGTGAAATTTGTAAAAAAAAACTTATTTATCCTCAATTTCATGACTTAATATTTTGAGGAATCAATAATCAAGTAAGATTAAAGGCATTAAAAGTCCTAAACTAGAGAATATCAATAAAAAATTTCATTACTTCAATGTGTCTGAAAAATATTATGCACAAGGATTATTTGAACATTTTTTTCAAATCTGAATCATTGTGGATTTGCCCTTAGTGATTGAATTGGTTAAACTTTCTGTTTTCCGTTATTTATTTTATATAAATTTGACGAAGTTCAAAAAAGTTCAATTTTCAAATATTTTTTGACCGTTATTTTAAAATAGATTTTATCTGTCAAAAATTAAAGTTAAATAATTTCAAAACTTTATGTCTTACCTTTCTTGTTTATCTGGATTACTTATAAATGGCTTAAAATCTTCCTTAGTCTTTGACTTTTCAGATACAAACTGCTTGCTATTCAGTAGTTCTAACATTTTTCTGGATTTTTCCTCTTGAGCTTGCTTTCGCCTTTCAATTTCATCATTATCAGGTTTTGGTGGTTCTATTGGCTTCTCTGGTTCATTCAACAATTTTCCACGCTCTTCAGGATTCAGGTCATGCCGTCCTAAACCAAGAACTTTATGCTTATTCTGTAATTCTATTTCTTTCTTTTTTTCGTTTGGTAATGGCGCAAATCTTGATTTTCTTTGTAGCCAATTCCTTGGTTCAAAGTCTCTTGGAATATCCACAGAATATACGCGAATATTACAGTCATTGATTGTAGCACGAGAGAATCCTTCAATTATTGACGCATCTATTGGCTTTGATACTTTTTTAATATTTTTATTCTTATCATCGCCTAATGTTCGATCATAGTTCCTCATATCATCCATAGCATAAATATCATCATCATCTTCTTCTAAAGCTCCAACACCAAAAGCTTGTCCTGATATTGAAAACTTTTTTTTAGTCTTTTTGTCATAAAGTTGAAATGGTTCGAAGAGGTTTATATGCTTTAAAGATGTCGACGGTGCTTTAAGTCCGGAATATTCTAATCCAAAAGTATTATCCTTAATATTGGCAATAAATGGATCAAAATCGTCAGGTACGAACGTTATTTCTTCATCACTCATGCTGTCATCTTCAGAATCAGCTCTGTTTTCCTTAGTTCCATATTTACTAAATACAAATACTTCCTTCTTATTCCTTTCACTCGTACGCTTTTTTTCACTATAAGTCATCCTTGAACCAATGCCTTGACCATCTCTCCATCCCATTTTCTTTAATACTCGAACTGCTGCTTTATCATGAACTGGTTTTAAAAGATTTCTGAGTACTGGCTCGCCAGGAATTGGACCCTCAGATGGCGCTTCTCGTCTTCTTTTATTAGCACTTGTTGATGCTGTTCCAAAATCTTCTTTCGTTTGGATCTTTTGTGGTGCAATACCAAATTCACCGAAATCTTCTTCGTCCATAAAATCTGTTGGCTTGAGTGCCTTCATGCTAGCTTTCTCAGCTCGTGAGCTCTTGAATTCGGTAGGTGTAAAGCCTGAAGAATTAATGTTCATAAACGTTTAAAATCATTTAATTTGTCAAGTTTACCTTCTTTAGATCCAACTGTATTCCAATATCCAGCTGAAAAACCACCTGTAAATGCTCCATGGAATCTCCTCCTGCCATTTTCATCCTTAACAACCATATCTTCTACTTGCAGTGGCTTTTTTGTTGGAATTTCGTCTGTAAATTTTTGGATTTTCTTAATAATTCATGAAAGATGATTTTAATTAACTTTACCTGCTTCATATTGTGCCAACTGTGTACCGTACTTGCACAGGCTATCATCTTCATCATCTTCCATATAATTATTGCCCTCATTATCGCTGGAACTCATTATTTTAATGATTATTTTGATCCTGAATTATTTGTTTTGATTCTATTTATGCACTTTTGGAGACTTTTTCAAATTATTATTTCTTCGTTTGATTGACAAAATGCTGTTGATTGTTTATTTTAAGTTACCTATTGTTGATATATGTTTGATTTAATCAAGGATGTACATAATTTCTTATTAATTAAGGATTATTTTTAAAATAATTAAGTTTCTGGATGTTTTGATTCATTTTTTTTAAATTTTTATTGACAGTTATTTTTCAAACATTTTTTAACAGTTATTTTCTACAATTTCTTATAATGCATGAAAAAGACACTTTGTCGATCACTTATGACTACGTCTGAAATAGTTTATGCTTGTGATCGTTTCCTTTTTCTTAAATCAGTACTTTAATAACTTACTAGTTAAGTGAATATTCATACAAAAAATATCATGATAAATCAAACAAAAATTATATGGCTCACTTTAATCATAACTACAAAAATATGATGCTTAATTACGATTTGAATAGCCTGGATCTCTATTTCCTCGAAGATAAAGGACCAGCGACATGTCAGCAGGTACTAATGTCACTCGTTTACGATGCAAAGCTAGTCTATAGGAATCTTCAAAAAGTTCAACTAAATATGCTTCAAGCGCTTCCTTTATACACTCAAATGCTTCCAGTGAAATACGAAAATCACCGTGAGACTGAAGAATCTCTTTTAATAACCGTCCAAAAGGAGCTTTAGGAATTATATTATTTTCTGGTTTTTGTTGGAGGATCCGAATTTCTCTAAGTAATGGAGTTTCGCGTGAAGTTGTAGCACTAGCTTGCGGTCTGCGTGGTGGCTGAACATCGTCTTTACTTTTTTGTTGTTTTCGATTTTGTGGCTGACTTTGTTTTCGTGATCTTGTGCTCTGATTTTGCTGTTTCTGTGGCGGTTGACGAGTAGCTTTTCGTGTCGATCGGGATGATTCAGACTCACTTTCTTCACTATCACTGCTGCAATTCCAAGAATTAAGATGAGATTTTATTGATACCATTAAATTGTAATTTTTATAGACTTACGATTCTTGTAAGAGATTCCTTGCATTTGCTGCTTTCGATTGTGTTCGAACCATGCCTAGATATGATTTTATATACTTAGTTTAATAATAACATATAAGGAATGAGCGTAAACTTAATTAAAACAAAATAAAAACTTTTGTTTTGGTCTGTAAAAAATTCCGTTAGAAAAGTCTCCAAAAAAGTCTACAGAATAGGGTTTGGTGATATACTTGAGTTTCAAAAAACCGTTAAATTCGCAACTTCATTCTGAAATTTAAATCATTAATTAAAGTGATTTTAGACACCTGAAAATGATAGAAATTAAACAAAAGTTAAGGATTATTTTGTGGAAATGCAACATCATATTTTTATTACATTTAATTTAAACTTGTAATTCATATTTCACTAATATAATTTTTTTTTCATGCCTCATAATCAATATATTAAGCACGGTTATTTAAAATGAAATTATTACACAAAATTTTTAAATAAAAAATCGTCATTTCATTTTAAATATCTAATCCACAATGAAATGATTTTTTTTTTCTTTAAACTCATCTCAGCACGAATTTTATGCTGAAATTTCTTCTTTCGATTGTCGGGGTAAGATTAAAGCATTAGATTTTGTTAAGTGTGTATGTGTATTACAATTCTCATCTAGTCAATTAGTAAAAAATAACATCTTTTATGGTTCAATTTTTGTTTTTGTATAAAAAAAGCTTTCTTTAAATATGAAAAAAAATTTCTAAAATCATAGACGTGATTTTTGGGATGTACTTTTGATTTCAAAGATGATCAGTGGGCTGGCTACATTCGAGAACGGAGGGGTAATTGCAGAAGATTTAAATAAATCCGATGAATTAGAAAATATATTCGAAAGGTTTGCATTTAATCCGTGGATAAAAATTAAATCTAAGGATTAAACTTAAATCCATCAAATCCAACTATTAATGGATACTATCCCAGCATCACTGAATCAATTAAATAATTTTAAAAGCATCATTTCCCCAAAAATACTCGATTAAAAGATAATAATTTCCCTGATAATACGTTCTTTAATTAAATGTTTTTTAAATAAATTCTTTAACTTTAATTCAAAATTCATAAATGTAATTTTTTTTTCATTGAATAGAGAATTCTTAATACATGAGCTTATGTACTTAAGTAAAATTTTTTTTTGTCAATTTTGGAATTTTATGCAGGAACTTGGCAAATTTGGGAGATATTTATTTTTTTTTTTAAGATCTTTAACTTTCATGGAACAAATTTATGTTGTTTCTGAGAGATTTGATAAAATCTTAAACATTTATTTTCGCAATAAATAAAATTAAACGGATAAATTTTAAATTTTGTGAAAAAAACCCGCTTTGAATTTAAAACTGCTTAAAATCGTTGAAATTTAAATATTTTTTTTTTTAAATTTTGAATTTTTTAAATCTTTTTTGCCACTGTTAATGTTTGAATTCATAACTGATTCAAATCTCCAATAAGCGTAATTTTTTAAAATACAAAATGAATTTGTAACAAATAACCTGCCAGATCTTTCGATAAAATTCCATTTATTTTCAAATCAGAAAATATATTTTACTAATTCCTCATCAGCAAGTTCCTGCACCAAAATTTTTGTGCCTATATTTTCGGTTCATATCAACAATAAATTTCTATTTGAAAAATTTCCACTTTTATTCATTTTTTGAATAAACAATTTTTTTTTCTTAATAAATTTCACGAAACATTTTAAATTCTGAACTTTTTTCATTGTCAATAAACTTTTTTTTTATTATAGGTTGTCAATAATTTTTTTTAAAAAATTTTCCATTTAATTCATTCATGGAAGCTTCTAATTGGAGACCAAAAAATGATAACAAAGTCTTTACAACATGGTAGAAAAATAGTTAAAGTTATGAAGAAATAATAAATCACATTTCATGTGTGTATGCATGTATGTTTGTCGTGTGTTTGTTAGGTGAGGAGAAATTATTTTAAAGAGCAATTTCAGAGCTCTTACATTTACAATATTAATTCTGTCCATAGTAATTTAATTTTTTTTTCTCTAAAAAATCTCAATGTAATTCAAGTATATAATATTATTTAAATAAAAGAATCAGGGACATTCGATATTTAGTTCTTACGTAGTTTCTGTTGATAGAGACACAGAGACCGATGAATGAGCTCATATTGCTCACTATTTTGCACCATTCCACCTCTCTGAAGTCTCAAATTGCACACAATTCCCAAAATATCTACAGATGTTCCCTCACCAGTCAATGGATTATTACTATTAGAACGAATTTGTCCGAGTCCATTTAAAATTGCTGCTAGACATCCCGTTCTACCAATTCCAGCTGAACAGTGAATTATTGGTAATGGATTCTTACAATTATTATTATTTTTATTAATATTATTATTGCCGGTAACTTCATTATTTTTCGTAAAATCTTTTGTGCAATCGCCGTCGAGTAAGTCTAAGCTCATATCCAACAGTACATCAATATCTTGTGGTGAACGATGATCAGGCCAATCCGGAAACCAATAATGATAAACTGTATATTGCTGTATTGATTCTATCTCATAATTTCCATAAATTAATGCAAGTTTCCTTATCGAATAACCATTCTTTTGCTTTAATCCAATATTCTTAATTATAAAGTAGTTGAATGAAATCTTTGGCAATTGTTTTCCTTCATCACGTTCGCTGCTACCACTGCTCTCACTCGGCAATGAACTTAAAATCGTTTCCAATCTATCACGAACGATATTTTCTTCATTCGGTAAGCCAGAATTTGTGAATATCTCACAGCTGCCTGACTCTTTTGGAAAGTAAACGGCACACTTTTGACGCTGACTCTCAATAAAGTCTGTAAGCATTGCAATCTTTTGAATTCCATCACTTGGATGTTTCTTCTGAATGTTCTGAAAGACCATCAACCAGAATTCATAGACTGTATTTTGCATGGGTCCTTGTGTTGCAATGTAACAATCTGTCGTATAGTCGGGGCCCTGTGAAAATGATTAAAAATTATATAAAAATATTAAAAAAGATAAATAATTACAAAAATATCATTACCTTTATGAAATTGGCATTGATGTATGGTTCTATCGGTATACCTTCCTCCCTTTGCAAAATAACACGAGAATGCTCATTTGGTAGAATCGTTTTGTAGCGATTTTTCGATTGAGAGCCAAAAACCATTGGTTTTTCTTGATAATTTGTTGGCAAGTTCCAAAACTCTTGATGAAGTTTAATGAGTAGCTGCTTTTGATCTTCATCAGGCGATGTTGTTGCACCAGTTCCAAATGAAATTAATGTAGTTCCATCAGATCCAATTTTACTATTCAGAATATCATCATTATTAAACTGTCGATGATGAACCATAGTGGAACTGATTAAATTCTCTTTTGGATGATTCTTATAAGATTTTTGGAACAATTCGTTAAGCGTCTTTAAATGCTCTTCGTCCAATACATTGGAAGCACTTTGAAGAAATTGAATATTCGCTAAATATATCTTAAAGTCCTCCGATGTACTTTGTGGACTCAATGGTTTTGTGCTAATGACTGGAACTTTCTCATTATGATGATATGGTTGTGCCTGCTTCAAATTATCAATCGAACCGTATGGCGTTTGATGCTGACTTTGTTGTCGATGAGTATTTGCCATTGACATTGCTGTCGATGATCGCATATTATGAAGATTCTCAGAACTTAAAAACTTTCTCTGATTCCGTTGTGCATACTTTTCAGAAGCTGCCTTTTCCTTCTCATTCTCGGCTTCTTGATGTTCAGCCTCTTGTTCCAACATCATCAATTCAGCCATTTGATTTGTATTGACACTACTTAAACTACATTCTGATCCTCGTAGATTACAATTGCTTATGGATAATCCACGATTATGTACGTTAAGTGTAAGACTTGCATTTGAGTTTCGTCTCTCCAATAATCCCTTCTTTTGTGATGATCCAGTTATGTTAAGTGAACTGTGACTATTGAAACGATTTAAATTATTATTAGATCCTTGAATATTTAACGTTAAGCTCGTGTTGGATCCGCGACGTTGAAGTAAATTCTTCTTGACGGTAACAACACGATGATTTGGCTGTCCTTGAAGATTATAATTCGATCCAGCAATATTTAAATGGGATCCGTGAAGATTACCAAGACTATAATTACTACAACTTAATCCACGTGTTAAATTACCACAACTACCATCTAAATTTAATGTCAGACTATGATTTGATCCACGTCGCTGTAAAATGCCACTTTTTGATGTTGACGGAATCGACGGTGGACCTATTCGCGGGACATTTGCTGCCGTTGATTGAGTTCCATCAAAATCATTTATACTCATAATTTCCGGAAGTGTTTTTAAATTACTTGAACTTATATTAAGTGTTTGAATAGATGCAGTCAAATTAGTCTTATACGATGTCAACTGTTGCTGGTGATGTTGTGTAGAAGTTGTTACACGAAGCTTATCAGCATTTTCATCATAGCTACCCAACTTATTACGATTATAGCGTCCACAAACAGTTTGTCCTCCTCCAGTGCTATTTCTATCTTCACTTGTCGATATTTTAAGCTTATTTGATGTGAGATGCTTTGGCGTTGATGGCACCGATATAGAACTATTCATTTTATTATTCTGTCCGAAATAATAATTGAATGTTTCAGTTGATGCTGTCTTTCCTGGAAATGCTTGTTGTTGCATTTTATTTCCATGCTCTTGCTGATTTTCTGTCGAGTCAAGCGATACAGCCTTTTTATTCACAAAATATTTCATTGTTGGCGTACGACACATTCCCTCATTTCCGATATCATCATCATCATCATCATCGTCATCATCATCGTCATCAAATTCTTGATTCATATTTATGTCACTATTCTCAGTTATGTCCAATGAACTGTCTCGAAAGTCAAGATTAATTGTTAGATTATATTTATTCTTTGGGTTAAAACGATTATTATTATTATTATTATTGTTGGCACAACTAGCTGCAGCGACATCAATATCTGAATCTGTTATTTGCTTATTATTATACGATGCAATCTCAACGAGCTCCTCCACTGGCATTGTAAGATTCTCCTCCACTAAACGTGCACCGTCCGAATCAAGTGAAATTGATTTTAGGCGAGCACGTCGTATTGTTAATGTATTTTCACTATTATTATTATTCACAATATTATCGTTATTATTATTTCTTGTATTACAACTGTAGAACGGTGACATTTTCTCTTCTAGAATCGGCGAATCAACTTCATCAATCTTTAATATTATACTCTCCTTATCATTATTTTTACCAATAATATTTTCCATACTAAGATTCTGAAATGCTTTCGTGATGATTGGCACATCCGTTAAATCAGTTGAAATGTTTGTTGAATGCTGCTTTTCGAGACACGATAATTTCCGTGCTGGCAACTGGATAGTATCAGTTACTATAGTTATGCCAGGCGGTGTCTCAATTTCAGGAAATCGGAAATAATTACCGACTTTTTGTGTTGTCGCTGATATCGGTGGACTTCCAGTATTTGTGTGGGCATTTGCGAGTTTCGGTGAGAAATTGAAGCTGTTGGGTGAGTTGAATGGATTAATTGGAGAATTTTGTTGCTGTAGAACATTTGTGTTAACTTTTGGCGATGTCGATATTATTTTGGGGGATGTCGAGATGACGGATGATGGAGAGGATGCGGAACTGCTTGTTCCACAACTAACACCACTATTATCATGTTTAAAGCTACTTATGGTTTTATTGAGACAAATATTGCGAAGTTTTGAAAATGGTTCCTTATTTTCCTTATTATTATTTTCAAATGATGGAGAAATGATGAATGGATTAGATGTGCATGATGAGGTCGTGGGAGTTTGAAGGACGGCAAACGATGAGCTCAATAAATTATTTGGACTATTTGGAGCTTTTGTAAAATACGTTTGCGTTCCTTGCGTGACATATTTATGATGTTGCGATGCATAATGTTGAAGAATTGTGGTTGGGCTAAATGGTGGTGGTGACGTTGCAATGGATTTGTAAATTTTTGCTGCTTGTTCTTCTTTTGGTTGTATGCAATGTACTTCCTCTTGTAATAATGACAATGGCGATGTCTGTTCCGAGGATGCAGCTAGTGATGAGGATGTCGTTTGTGGTGGCTGAATTATGCTTGCAATACTTATGTCACTTATTGCTAATGGACATGGTATAATTGTCGATTCCTTCTCAATATTAATCTCAGATGTTTCTGTTTCCTCCTCATCGTCATCACTTTGCTGCTGTTGATCTTCTTGTAATTTCTGTGAATTTGGCGATGTTGGTGGAGTGGATTTAAACTCAACTGTCTCTAGCTTCTGCTCCAAGTCATTGACAATTTGACTATCAATCTTCTTTGATTTCCCTTTTAACCACTTTCGACTGTTCATTTTATTACGGTTATTATTATTAACTCTATCGCACTTTTTCTTTGTGCAATATATTTTTGATTGAATCTTATGATCAACAATTTGGCTTTTTTCACGTTTCTCACGATAATATTTTTGTATCCAAATAAACAATATGACAGCAATAAGAATTACTGCAAGTATTGTTATAGCCAATATTGTGAATGGTAGCACTAACTCTATCCACGATGATTCACTTAAATGTTCATATGTTATCAAATTATTATTATTATTATTATTATTTGCATTAGCATTCTCATCATTTAGATTATTATGATGATGATTTATAATATCACTATTCACATTAGTTCCTTTCAGATTCCTTTTCGTATGATCTAAACTATTATCTGAACGTCGTTCGAAATATTGATAATTTTTATATTCTCGAATTAAGTTTGCCGTTCGAAAGAAGCGTTTATTAATATTATTATTATGTTGTGTTGGGGATGAGGATGTACGAACATTTCTGTAATATTCCATAGTCAAAGCGCTTCCTTTAATGCAAAAAACTTTTGTTTACCTAAAATAATAGTTTATGACGATGTTGGGAAAAAATGGAAAGAGAAAGAAAGAAAATAGTCTTAAACTGTTGACTGTCTTCCTGCATACATACTTTATATTTTAAAATAAAGAAAGAAAGGAAAAAATTACCTCATTAAAATTAATGATAATTAAACTACATTTAAATATATAATAATCCATTATTTATAAGCGTATTCTTTGATTCTTTTTGATATAGTCAGCGGTCAATCTGTTCATAAGTCGAGATGAGAACGAGGAAGAAAGAACAGGAAAAAGATATATAAATTAAAATTTTTTTTTCACTTGGCACTTTTCTTTATTTGCTATTTAAAGTCTTAATCGGGGAGAAATGTTAAACCGAACTGTTAATTCAAAATCCTTTTAATGTTATTTACATGTTCACGCATAAATAGAGTTTCGAAACTTACTCTCAATTAAGTTAAAATAAGATTTTTATGATTTTTTTTAACTATCCAAAATTTTCACGATTTTCTCTACAAATTATTTCTACAAAATTTTCCATCAAGGGGCTCAACTTTAATTTCTACGCAAACAGGGGCTTGCAACTATCTCGTTCTTTTTTCTCTACAAACTTTACACGTTTGGTTCGTAAAAATATTATTTTATTTAATTTAACTATGTTTTCGCTCTCTTTGTGCAATTTAATATGATACAACGTAAAGCTTAAAAAGTGATTAACTTAATTCACCTGAAGAATTAACTGGAAAAGGCTCGAAAGTTGTGAAATTTTCAATAATTATTGTTTACAAAAAATATTTTGCAATAATCGCTGAAAAGTAATTAAGATTCATTAGTTATATCAATTCTTTTGGATAATCAAATGTAATTAAGCATGAATCATAAGATTTACAGCATTAAGTTACTAAAACTTGCACAATTTGAGAATGTCAACATAAAAATAAATTTTTTTGCAGGTTATGGAAGTCTAAAGTCATTAATTCACGTATTTCCTCTTATTTTAGATAGAAATGGCCAAGAGTAAAACAGAAAAACGTACCAAATCAGCTATAAATGAGGTTGTGACACGCGAGTGCACAATCCATTTAAACAAACGTCTTCATACAGTCGGATATAAGAAACGTTCACCAAGAGCTGTTAAGATCATCCGCAAATTCGCAGAAAAAGAGATGGGAACAAAGGATGTGAGAATTGATACTCGTCTTAACAAAGCTATTTGGTCACGCGGTATTAGGTGAGTTATGCTCAACATTTCCCTTACTGGATCTTTAATTAATATGTAAACTGGATCTTTCTAGAAATCCACCTTTCCGCGTTCGTGTACGTCTCTCACGTCGTCGTAATGATGATGAAGACTCTCCTAACAAGCTCTACACATTGGTCACTTATGTTCAAGTTGAATCCTTCAAAGAACTCCAAACAGAAAATGTCGAATCAGAAGATTAAATATTATTTTTTGAAATTCCATCGATATGTTTACTGTAAGTTTGATCTTTAAAAGCCAGATGTACTGTCATCTACATCATCAATAAAAAATATTACAAGAACTAAAAATAAACAAACAGTGAAAGTGATTTATTATTAAAAGTGATGAACTATGACAGGTAGAATGTTTGAATATAGTTTGTGAATGAGTCATGAAAGCTTATGTTTCAGCTGTAAATTCGTTTTTGTGCTGTATCTCATCTTACTGTGGTTTTGGCAATCAAAAACTTTTGAACTTTAAGTTCAATTGAATAAATTTCGATGGTTAAAATTTTCAAATATATTCTGTCGGTTATTTTTTAAAAGATAGCTTCAATCTGAAATTAGGGTTTAGACTTAGAAATTAAAAGACATAAATAATTTTCATTTCGATTTTATTTGTTCTTTTCCTTAACATCAAAATTACACAAAATACTTTGAATTCGGTATGAGTAAATCTTACATAAAACAGCTAATATTCTAATTAATCAAAAATGCATCGAGAGGAAACATTTGTCCTACATAACAATGAGTCTAATGCCATTTTATTTTTTGATAAGCTAAACGGTTTAATCCGATTATTACTTAAAGAGAATGATAAAGACTCATTACCATGACATGAATAATAATAAGTTAAGTCTAATATTAATTACTACTTAAATAAATAGTCTTATATGTAAAATAGCGGCTCCTACAACTAGCATGATAAACAGTAAAGAAAAAAATTTACTGCATCACCGCTCTTCCTGCATATCCCGATCTTGTAAAGTCATCGAGTGTTTTTCTTCCAGCTGTTTGTAGCTTCGATGCAAGTCCACATGTCTGTTAATTAAATTATTATTTAATATCAGGTGATTTATGAGCAGGCGGCACTTAATTTTCAGGTGGGGAAAGGGGATTCTGTCTTATTTTTGTAATAAATGTGTATTTAATCCTTCGATTTAAATTAACCCAGGAAGATTTATTTTAAATCCAAGGATTTAATATTAATCTGTTGATTTATTTTATGGGGGGGGGGGGGGGGAACAAATTGATATGATTTGAGATTAATCCTTTTACAGTTCCCCGATACGCATCACAAAAAAATACATCTTTATTACTCTGAAATATTCAATAAAAATTCATACTAACTGCCAATAATACCCAAATAATCAACAGCACCAAAAAAAATTCAAACGGTATTGCCAATTTGCATAATTAAACTTACAATTATCGTCGATAATGCCAGCAGACCAGCAAGAAGACCAGAAATCATCACAAAATTGCGGCACTGCTCAGGCGATTCATTAAACTTGATATCGCCATTCGCAAATTCGCCAGGCATTAAAACTGTATACTGAAGATTTTCCTTAAATCTCGTGTAATCTGTTGTATTGGTGTCAATGCTTCTTCTCTTTTTGCCATGTCCTAGATATAGATTTTTGTTTGTGAATCAATTATTAACGGAAATGTTCATTAAAACTCACTTTTACTTCCAGTCTGATCGAATAAATCTAAGCAATAATCTGGTTGACAGTCTTGAGCATCCATGCAGGCTTTAATTTGCGAATGTATCCAAAGTGTTGATCGTTCCTTCATAGAACTTAAAAGAAATGCCTCAAAATCTAAGAAAACTTCATTGGGTCTGTCACGATATCTTGCTGGTTGGTGTGGAATGATTGATGCAAAGTCACGATTTCGACATCCATCGCGGACTAAAATAACTGCTCCAATAGCATGTGGATCATCCTAATTGAAAGATATTGATTGATTGTTTTAACGAAAAACAGAAGTGTCAGACATAAAACGTTAAAACTTACAGGATCCGGACTGACAGTGACTTCCATGAGTTTTACATATTTCCACACACTTTGAATGCTGATTCTTGCTCTAAGCTGTAATTTTGTACCGATTGGAACTGCTTGATCAACTGGAACTTCATTATTTGCTGTTAAACTTGTGCCATTTTTTGGAAACAGTTGTGGATGCGGTTGTGCTTGTTGCTGTTGACCTGATATTCTACCGAGTGGTGGAGCTTCTTTGTAAAGTGCTACTTCATACTCTAGTCTGCCAGGTGTTTCCTGAATAGCAATAAAAAATTAATTAAATTAAGTAACGGATATATTTTTTAAAAATTTCAAATTTTTGCCACTAAAAAGTGCTGCACAAATTCAAATTTGAAGATTAACGGTTAAATTAGAATTTAAATTTAACGGCTTTGAAGTATTAAAGCAATTGAAAGCAAATCAATAAATCTTACCTCAACCACGCCTGAAACTCTCGCGCCATGTGGACTGTCAACAAAAGAAAGCATCATAAAATCGCAATAATATAAATAATCAAAGATTCTACTCACAAACTGCCTGCAAATCCAGCTGCTTTATTTTGAATGACTGTCGGTTCTGGTGGTTTGCACATTATGATTAATTCTTGATCCGATTGCATCACAACACCGGGAAATTGTGGAAACCAAATTCTTACATGCACAAATCCATTACGCTTAAGAACACCACAACGTGAAAAGTCTGTGATTTTAAGTTCATAATTTAATTCAGCAACATCATTTCGATCAGGTTTGATCGTACACGAGTAGTCATTGTCTGGATTAACACTTCGATCATCAGCAAACAGTGGATGTCCTTTAAATCCAAGCGGTTTTTTAAGTTTCGCTGTAATCATGTCACCGAGTGTTGAACCTTGTGATGAGAATGAGCACTGGATGTCTGAAACATCATAATCTTGTGCAATTATTGACGGTATTAAGAGCTGGACGGTGAAATGAAAGAACAGAAAAGAAATAATTTATCATAATGGGTAGATGGATGGAAAGTAAACGTTAGAGTCAGAGAAGCAAATTATCACAATTGTTGTAGCTGTTGTGGATTGATTTATTAAAGACCTTACTAGACAACATTATCATAAAATTAGATCGCGCACAAGAGGAAAATTAATGAGCACGGGCATGCTTGTTGAAAATTAAACATTTAAACTGTGAGAACAAAATTACTTTCTTAACAAAATAATAGAGGCTGCCTGCGCATTGCTTATATCAAGAAAATTATTTAATCTACTTTTTATTATTCTATTCTATTAACAATTTTGTGTACAACAGAAGCGATTTCGCAGTTTATCAAAAGAATCTGGTTCAATGGGTTTTGCGTTTTTTGTCATCAAAGGTAATTGCTTCATTTTACGTCTATCCAGTGCACGAGACATGTAATCATACTGTATATAGTTCCAATTTTTTGTCTTTTAATGAACTTTCGATGGTTCCGATTTTTATTTTCATCTGATAATATTTTTGGTAGCCTGAATTTCATTATTTTTTGTTGAGATCAATTAAGATAACAACTTTGTGGCACCAAAACACGACGTGGTCAGTGAAAATGAGCTTACAAATATTTCTTGTAAGTTTTTTCTATGAATTTTAAGATAATTACAAAATGTAAAAATAAGAAACTGTAAGAAAGTGAATGGAGGCAGCACACATCATGAGAACGATTAATCATTTAGTCTGCTGATTGATGGGATAGAAGTAAAAATTACTCCAAAACCACACATGGATCGTTCAAAAAAGAACAATGAATTTCCTGGAATTCCACCCCCCCCCCCCCCTGGACGTCGTTCAATGTTAAATTTAAAATGATTTTAAGGAAGAATTAGATAGTAGAAAGTTTGGTTGTCGAAAAATTAATCAGATGATGTACAAAGAAACTGAAATAAGGTAAGCTTAATAAAAGCGTGAAGTATAAATTGCCAAAAACAATAAATTTCCTCCAAGTAATTTTCCCCCTGACAAAAACAAAAACAGAACGAAAAGAAAATACACAAAAATGGAAAATCAAGGTAATTTCATATTAAACATAGATTTTTGATCAATACCTAATCAAAATACTTATTTTACTTTAATCAACAATTAGATGATGCACCAAATCAAGAAGAAAATAGTGAATCTTCAGCCAACAATCAAAATTTGCCAATTTCCCTAGTTAGAAGAGCAAGAAGATTAGTATCCCAGCCAACATTACAAGAAAATAATTTAGATAATGAGATTAATAACTATCCTCAACATTTAAATGATGAAAATGACGATGATGATGGAGAATCTTCAGACAGACTTTTTGAGGAATACATACAAGAAGGTTCACAATCAGGTCAATCACAATTATTTGACAGTGAATTGCCTACACAACATTCATATTTAGGAAGTACAGAGAATGTACGAGGATTTTCATATTTTGAACCATATAAAACGTATGAAATACCTTTCTGTGAGCACCACAGTCTGTTATTTCCTGGAGAAATTCTACCTATGATTATGTTAGCTGATCGGTTTTTCTCATTATCAAATAATGAGGAAGGAGTTGTATTTGGATTAGTTTTTCAAAGAGAAAATGAAGATGAGAAACAAACTTATGGTGTCACTTGCCAGATATTTGAAAAAGGTTTAGAAAGTGGACTTGTTAAAATTAAATGTAAAGTTCAACAAAGATTTGTCGTTGTGAAAACAAATAATGAAGATAGTATTACGATGAGAAATCATGGATATTATGCAAAAGTCAAGATTCTCCCTGAAATTGTCCTACAAGATCCATATCTTCTTGCTATATCCAACAGTTATTTAAAACATTATCAAAATACCAATAATAAAATTCATCTCCAGAAGTTTTTGGCTGCATCAACGAGATGGCCAAAATTTGTGTATGACGAATATTCAATAGCTACAGTCACTGATAAAATTGAAAGATATTTGGCAATGTTGAACATAGAAGCACCAACTGATCCAATTCTAAAGTCATTTTGGCTCGCAAGAAATGTCCCATTAAATCACACAGACCGATTAAAAGTATTTCAGTCAAATTGTGTAAATAAGAGATTAATGTTAATTGGTGATTCGCTTAATTATGTAAGTTATATCCAACACTTTCCATTCGTTCATTTTAAACAAAATTAAAATTCATTTCAGATGTGCTATTTCCTGTGCAAGAGATGCAAAAATAAAATTTCAATCTATAATGATATTTTTGCAGTATCAAAAGGTGCTGTTAATGTAAATTACTGTAATCCTGCTGGTTACATCCATGAAACACTCACAGTAATGAAAACGTTTGAATCAGCTGTAAAATTAGTAGATAAGCCTTCAACAGAATTCAGTTGGTTCCCTGGCTATGCTTGGCAAATAGCAATTTGCTCAAAATGTTATACTCACGTTGGATGGAAATTTGCAGCAGTTAACAACAGGAATTTAAAACCGAGGACATTTTTTGGACTGAGCTGCAAAAGTCTTTTAGTTCAATCACAGCAAGATTCAGTTAATCAAAATGATCAAGAAGTTATTGATTCAGATATGGAGTAAAATTTTTATATATTTAATTTAAGCACATTTTTGTCATTTTTAATCAGTTTTATTGAAAATAAAAACGTCTGAGATATGAAAAAGAAAATAATGGCTTTTTTATATCATATAATGTTTAATTCAACAGACAGAATCAAATCTTGGTTCACATCTTAAACTGTCATAATATGAACAATAAATTGTGTCTACTAATTCAGATTAAAATATCACAAATAATTACAGCGAAAATTCGCAAAATAAATTATCTTCATTTGTTCTACTTCTCGATTACTAAGCAAGTTTAATCCACAATGGACACAAGAATAAGAAATTCTGTCACAAGTCATTCAAACAAAACGAAAATTATGTTGATTAGCTTTTGTGCTATCAAATTATCTCTTTTGAGTGAATTTCCCACGTCAGTGGCAATGAAAATGAAAATGTGGGTCAAAAGAGTCTCTCATAGGAAGTAAGAACAAGAAAAAGAAGATCATATGACAGAGAAATGCATTAAATTAACCCGAAAATTGCTATTTGATATCTTAACTGGGTAGACTTTTGAGGCACACGAACGAACTTCAGATTTGGCATGAAACGCAAAGCATAAATACAATAATAATGTAAAGTTTTGTAAACCTAACTTTGTATTAAATATGTGCCTTTCGTCTTGCTACAATAATTCCGCTACAATTTTATGTTTCATATTTTTTGAGAGAAGCAGCAGCAGCAGGCAAAATAAATGTTTTGATAAAATTTTATGACTTAAACTTTTCATTTTTTTTTTTGCTTGTTCTTTTATTACTTCCTATATGCACGTCAGCTCACTTTTCACCTATTAATCTAATGATATCCACAGCATTTTTGAGCTACATCATGTCTTTAGACTAGAATAGGCAATTTCCATAGTGAAATATTGAAAATTGATGAATTGAAAAAAATTTGGAGCATGCAAAATTGATTAATTATGTTTGAATTGAATCAGATCAGGTGCTATTATTTACACAAAGAATATCGAAAATTTCCAATAAAATCAACTTCCGTAAACAGCCTCAAAAATTGGAACTTAAATTGAGTGAAATATGGAATTTTGTTGGCAGCATGCAGTTCAATAACGGATCAAGATTACTTAGCTAATTGAACAACTTAATTCCAAAATCATTTCATTAAGACATAAAAGAGGAATAATGCGAATGTCTGAACATTCTGAAGAAGAAAAAGTGACCACAAAAAAACATTAGAAAATGTGCAGTTTAACCCAATAGCGTTAAAATCTTGTAATCTTCTCTTTGTCCATTTAATTGGCAGTGATTGTTGATGAAATCAAGAACAATGATGAGGTTTGCTAACAGTCAATCGTCAATGCTTCATGATCTCAAGAAAAGAACGATTAAAAATCAAAAAGAAAAGCTAATCAAGTCGATTAACAAAAGAAAATACTGTTTGGTGGTGCTAGGTATGGTCACGCTTCCACAGTTTCTATATCAAATTGTATAATTTGAATAGACGATCGATTGGATGTAATAAAACCAATAGCAGAAGATTCTTTTTTGAGGCTTTATTTTCAATTGAAGATCGTGTCTAACGGCAATAAATTAATTATGAATTGTAATTAAAATCATGCAGAAATAAATGAACTACCACAAGAAACATGAAGTACAAGCCAAGCTAACATTACAATATCATCGTTCTTAATTCATCAAAAACCTCATCTAGACACATCAGGCAGAGCAAAAAAACATAATAATTAAATGAAATTAACCCATTTATTTTTCAAAATCGAACGGAGTTAAAAATTATCTAATATGTTTGGATAGCTTCAATATCTTAATAAATATTGAACAAGTGCTGAGAATTAACACATTACAAATTTTAAAATGCTTGAAGAGTTTTCGGAATTCTTTTAATGCCTGGGGCAAAGTTATTCTTACACACAATTTTAGGAGTTGTTCTTAAATTAGGTTTGTTGAATTCTTAAGGTTCTTACTATAGCTTAATTCCGCTTAATTATGGATCTAAAAAAGAACTTGCGATCCGAGATAGTTAAGAGGACAAGGGTCGGTTTAAAGATATATTCTTGGTCCCCACTTCATTCACAGTCGAACTTAATTTATCTTCAGAGAACAGGGCCTCAATTTGCAACTTGGAAGAGCTTCAGCTCTAAAACCAAGCTCAGAATAGTCTCAAATGCCTCATTATGCGAGGTCCAAACCTTCTTGAATCCTCTTTTATGTATATCTTAAAATGTCATCATTTACAAACATCCCCAAACCCATAGCAAAATAATGCTTTCCCTTTTACTTTAATTAGATAAAGCCTCGATCGTTAGCAAGGTGCGATGTATGAAGAATTGAGTGCGAGTGAGAATCTAGAACAGCTTTGTGAGTTGGGAAGAAAAAGTTCTGTTAATTGCTTTACTAATTAATTTACAATTTAACTTCCGGAGGCTCGTGACGTAACAATCTGATGGTAATCGAGTGTAAATTCTCGGCAAATTTGCAGCACAGAGTAATGAACAGTTACGAAAGTGGACATGAGAATGATAAGAACGCATTTTACGGTAATTGAAGATTAAATTTCGCATAATGATCGAGTCTTAAAATTGATTACATTTTTGCAGTTATGGACAAATGTTAATTTGCTGGAATTAAGCTACTGAAGCTGGTATGAATTTCTGTTATTTTTAAAAATTATTTTGATTGTTGAGATTATGGACCTAGATTTATAATTCCGACGTATTATGTATTTTATACAGTTTAAATGGATGATCAACAAGTGGATCTGTTTTGTGGAAGTCTACTTAATTTATTCGATAATTTTCGATGTTTAGTAGATTCGCTGATGATTGAAATTTCGGTATTTGATTTCAATTTAGTTTTTGGGGTTTTTCATAAATGATGTAGATCAAAAAATGGGAAGAGTTGAGTTGAATTAATTTCAAACTGCAGCACTGATTTAGTGACCAACTCTATAGCAACTCTATTTCCTAAAATACCCCAATGTAATCCCAATACTTGTATAATTCCAATCTTATATTTTTAATTAACAATTAATGTCAAACGACAAGCTTCCATCACCATTCTCATCATTCCAAGCTACTTTTTTAATAATGACTCTTAATTGAAACGTTATTAACAATGTCGATTGACAAGACTGCTCAAAAGTGTAATGAGATATCATGATCAACATCATCACGTGTCTATTGATGGCATGATTGAAGTCTAAAAAGAAATCAAACATGCATGTTTAGAATTCCAATCATTCACGATTTTACTCACTCAGTCAATCAATCAAACAAAAGCGAATTCTTTCGTGCAATCTTCGTTTTGCTAAAAACAGAATCAAAAAGACCCGTTCTTGGGTATGAAAAAATAAAGCATAATAAGAATGCTCGAGATAAAAAGAAATGAAAATATAGTGGCGCTCGATATCTCGGCATGATTGCACGCATGAGTTTTAAGATAATAACCGAGCACCGTTTATTGGTTAGCAAGGTCTTGACATAATTTTATTTCTTCTTCATTCAAGTCATTTTATTTGAATATTCAGTGATCTGTACGGGGTCTATTCTAGGCCCCTGATCAGGGGTGTTCAAGAGTGAAAAATTTATTTTAAAATTGCTAGGTTAGGTTAAGGTTAACCCCCTTTTTTATATAAAATAGGACTGTTATGTGACCCCCCCCCCCCTCCCATATTCCTCAATCCACAACGCTTCGTCTCTGACTGATACTGATTGGATTTGCGCTTTGGAAAAAATTTATAGAGCATAATCATCCAGTCAATATCAATCTATCCAAAAAATACTCATAAAAGAATGAATCACTTACCGTAACTGCTACCAAAACCGATGTGTTTATAATCGAATTGAGCCTCAGCATCTTTCTAATGTTGTTTATTTGAATTTTCTAGATGAAAAGTTTCACTTTGTGTCACAGACAGAAGAAGCGAAATCTAATAAAAGTCACAGAATTAAAGTCACTATGTGAGTTCGTTGGCTTCTTCTCGCTTTTATTTTAGGAAAAGCTTTCAACTCTGATAAACGTTTAAATTATCCGATGATGATGAATGACATTTAGTGCACACTGATGATGATGAAAAACTATTTTCACTTTGGGGCTGTTCACTTATTACGTAACGCGAAAAAATGACTTTTTAGACCCCCCCCCCCCCTCGTAACAAAATTTGTATGAAAAAAAAATTTCTTTGTTTGAACCGTAACAAAATCTTAGACCCCCCCTCCCCCCTAAAAGCGTTACGTAATAAGTGAATGGCCCCTTTATATAACAATGTTTTTGCTTATTTATTTTGAGTACCACACACTTGAAATTGCTTTTATTTACAAGCTTTTATAATGTTTTTATGTATTTCGGTGAAAGTTCACATCTTAATAATTTTCTGCAAATGAATTTTGATATGTTTGTACTTGTTTCTTTTTCGCAATGAACTTGACTCACATTTGCATAAATCTTGATTGCTATGTGCTCTCAACTTTTTATTCTTAAATTACCCACCAACCTCTTTTTGATAAAGGAGTCATTCATAAATGACGTCTAATCTCAGTGTGACATAGATTCTGACTTTTGCTTAAATCTGCTAGATGCAGTAGGAACAATCAAGTCTTTTTTAAAGAGGGTTTTAAAATTATAATAGTTTGGAACTTTAACAATCTAAGGAATAGGAAGTGGATAGTTTGACTTTTTAACTTCTGAGCCGGTTTCTAGAGCTATCTTGGACATCTTTTTTTGCTACAGTCAAATTTTATCTGCTCCCAAAGTTTGATACATTGATTTTGGATCATAGAGTGCTCTAGTATCCTGCGTCGACTCTAGAAACTAGAGATCCCCAGATGCTGATTTGTCTTACACTCAATTAATTTCCCTCTATAACTTTTGAACAATTTAAAAATCAAATCTCACACTGCTTTTAACTCTTTAATCCATCCAACAAAAATTCAGACGTCATTTACTCACAACCCCAAGGTTGATAGACATTAAACAAATCTTTATGTCTCTAATTTACCTATTTTTTGAGATCGTAAAAAATGATTGAAAATTCAATTTTATACTTTTTTGCACAATTTTTCTTTTTCTTTGTTTTGAGGCGAAAAGGCAAACAATATTGATGCCACATAAAACTTTATGTCTTAATCTTTAGATAAGGTTTAGAATTATTGCTGTATATGAGCAATTTCCTGAATTAGTTTTTCTTCAGATTATCTTTGGTTATTAAAGTCGTAAAAATTAACGGGGATTTTTCGAGATAGAAAAGAAATCTTTAATCTAATTTTGTGCTGATTTACAAACAATATGTTCTTTACACTTTTAAGTGTCTATTATTGATGTAAGAATTTCTGGTTGAGGTGTGAAATTAGTTTGGATGAAGCTGTATAAAATTTCAAATGATGGGTGGATTTACATTTTGTTTGTTGTTGGATAAGCATCGATTTTATTCGAAATAGAGTTAGGATTAAGATTAAAGAACTTAGAAGACAAACTGTAAGAAGGATGAATGTTTTAAAGAACGTATGAATCATGAAAAGTTTTATGCTCAAAATAATCCACTATCTGATGTCAAATTGTTAATATTGAATGATTACAACAAGTTGCAATCAAATAAAGAATTTAATTGGACAATATCAAAAGTATGATTCTTAAAACAACAGTTTTAATCAGAAAAGTCGTTAAATAATCAACGATAACGACCTTTTTTCTTGTGCTTGTTCTGTCAGCTTTAAAAACAACCAAAAAAAATTAAAATTCCCAATTAAAACCAACAGAAAATCTAATGGCAACCTGATCTTCAATTTCAGAAGTTCAAGCTGATCAACCTGATTAATGAAGTATTCATCCTTTGACCACTATCTACGCATCTTACACTTAACTTCCTCTCAATTAACTTCTGACTTACTTTTTTGAGCTTAATTTCTAAATGAGAATCAGATCACCACTATATCCTCACAATTCAATCAAACCAGTCTGTCATAAAGAGTGAAACTAAATGAGTCTGACAAGATTTGCATAAAACACATTATCACTTAGACTTATTAGAATAAATGTAGCACAAATGAGATTAAATTAGTTGAAAGTAAAGTGCAATTTGCTGATAATTACCACTTTCAATCGTTCCTCTGTTCTACAACACGTATGAATAAAATTATGATTGAAGAATCTTTAATGACTGACTGTTGAGTTTCTAACAATAAAACAGAACGGGTTTGGCAAACGTTATCATTAGCAGAACGTGGCTTGATACTTATTAATAGATTAATTGTTGCCTCAAAGCCAAGACAATTCCTTTGTGTGTCACACACTTTTTACTTCTGGATGCAAATGAGATTTACAAGACTTTTATGCAAATGCAAGAATGCAGAAAAATTCAAATTAGCAAACCTCATTCATTCACTAAATGTTCGTCACAGATTCTTTCATTTTCATATCACAAACCTTTTTTCCATTCACTATCATTCATATGAGCCAAAAAAAAAAATTAAAGTTCTTATTAACGTTAGTTGTTGAAAATGTGCAACGAGCTGTGAAAAAGTTTTTCTTTTCTTTTCTTAAATGTTGCAATTTTTTTATTATTATTATTTTTTTCTAACTGAATATTTCTTTTTGTTGCACTTAGAATCTATCAGTAGATATATAGGTCTGCGCGCACGTTAAGTTATTTTTTAAAAACTTTCATTCCTCGCAATTGCACATCCACTCTCGACGAAGTCTAAACTAAATCTGAAAATGCTTTCGTTGAGATCTGTGAAAGAAATATCGTTCAAGATGAAAATATGAATGAAAGAAGAGCGAAAATGAAAATCTTTTTGTATTCACGTGTTATTGCGGCTTTTCATTGTAGGGTTGTTCATAAATTACGTCAAATTGGAATTTAGGATTTTAAGAAATCTGAATCGATTTTCAAATTGGATTTAAGAAGTTAAACAGAACTTGAAGTTGATAGTTCAACTTCGATTTGTATTAAATCTGCTCAAAATCTAAATTTGTGGATAGCAATTCAAAGGGGGATAACAACTTAATGGAAATTATTAGCCATCATGTTGATTTCACCTTGATAAAACTCCTTGATTTTAAAAACAGGTCTTTACAGTCGCGAATCACCAAACTCTACTCATTCTTAAAAATAGACGTCATTAGTGAACAACTCCCATATACACACCAAAACACCAGCTTTGCAAAGCTTTGTACAGCCTCACACAAGAGAAAAAGGTACCGAAAAAACAGAGAAATTCAATGCGCGATGAGAAAAGTGAGAAGGTGCTGTGTTGCTAGTAAAATTCTACGATTGTTCTTTTGTTCTAATTGTTAGAATCTTTTGGGATTATTGACGTTTTATTCTTAGCTGAAGTAATTTATTATGGATTTCATGCAAAAACTTTCTTTTGTGATACTTATCAGACAATTTAGTAGTTCGAGAATGTTTAATGAAATTTTCAATTATTAAGTTTGAAATGCGAAGAAAGAGAGTAAGTGTTACGGTTTTTGTAGCGTGGTTTTGATGATTTTGTGTCTTAATTCTGTAATTATGGGTTTTTTGTCCAAATGTTGATAAAATTTTTGATTAATGGTGATTTTTTTTTGGAATTTAAAAATGGAAAGTTAATCGATAATTATAGTTTTTGGTGATCCAATTTTAAAAAGGAATTTTTTATCACATTCTAGTACAAACTCTAGTCTTTACTTCGGATTGTTAAAAAATTTAAACAATCCAGCCTATAATTAGCATTCTAATCCACACAAACAGCGCCCATTCCTCATATTTTCAAATACCATTCCAACTTCTCAACAACTTTGCACATTATTGTTGATTTTAACTTACATTTCATTCAATCTCTACAGACCGTTCGATACATCTATCTGTAAATCTTGCAAAAAAATAACAAAAGCAATTTGAATATTATGCAGAATAACATTTCGTCGCTTTTGATTCTACAGAAAAAGAAACAAAGGTTCTTAATGGAGAGAAGAAAAAAATAGTAAGTGCTTATATGATATGTACGGAATTTTCTATTCTTCGCATGCTCAAACATTGGAAGTAAATTGATGATGAATTCATAGTGATCAACGGATCTATGGATAATAAACGATCAATTTTCGATCGATTTAGAAGAGGTTTGAGAATATTGATAGTGTTGCGGTATAATATTAAGTAGATACTCAGGAACTGCAAATTATTAATGCTTTCCTGTATTTGCTGGTGGTTATTTAATGTTAGAATGAGAATGGCTGAGAATTTAAAAATTCTTGGATACATTTTTTTAAAATTTGATAGCAAAAATTGCTTTGTAGTAAGGTTTGATGTCAATCTTATCTTCCTGAACTTAGATGTAGACTGAACTTTGTTTTTTTGACACTTCTCTGAGTTTAAGACGATTATTTTAGTAAAAAACAAACACCTAACCTCAAAAATGTAGATCCATACCAAAAATTACAAAGATTACATCTGGGAGTTCCACAAAAATCACTATTATCTTATTCCATAAATGTAAATCATAGAATCAAAAGATGTACCGATTGCTGTTGATGGATACCGAAAATTAAATTCAATCATCATCAAATCATTCTTTGTGGTAATGAAGCTTAAATGAGATTTATGGAACAATTATCAGTTCCCTTTATGATACATTGCCATTAACGGCATGAATTCATTATTATGATGGTTATGATGTAACATCTTTAAAACGCGCTTCATCTTAATCACAATAATCATCATTATGCAAACGAATATCTGGATTTTGGTTAAGTTCAAAGAAATTCCATTAATTCGTATTATATCATCCATGAAATTAGAATTTTTCTATGCTACCATTTAGAATGAAAAATCACTTTCGCACCTTCAGCAGAAAGTTTTCTTTTTTTTTGCAAAAAAAATGTTCAGTTCTCATTCAATCATTAAATATTTATTCTGTTCCGTTCGATAAAGTTCTAAAGATAGCTGTGAGTTGGTATTATGCGATGATTATGCAAAACACACAAAATGCTTAAGAATATCTCTTCGCGATAGTTCATTAATCTTATGGCACTAACTGATAGAAGAGGAAGAAAAGGAAATTATCAAGAATCGCTTCACGTTTTAATTGAAAAAATGTATTTTTTTCGTGGTTACCACCCATAATAATAATAATTTTCTCGTCTATAGACTTTTCTTGATTTGCGAATATTTATTTAATTCAGGAAAATGGTGAAATTGAATTAAAAATTTAATTGGAATTTTAGCTTAAAACTGTAAATTGAGGTTAAACAATTTAAAACGTGGATTTCTTTGGATTTTAAAATTTCAGTTTGATGACTAAAATAATTTGGTTTGCATCGGAACTAATCGTTTGATTGTTCCATTGATCAATGGTCTAAATCATTGATGACTTTGAATGAATTGATTTTGTTTGCATAAAATGTTAAAATTTTATAAAAATTCAGGCATTTTAAAGAAATTTTAATTGAACTACAACTATTCTAAAAGCTTTATATTATGCCGAATGACCTGGTTTGATCTTCAAGAAGTCATTTAATAACTATGCAATTCATCCAGGTAAGGTAATGCAATTTTTGCAAAATTATTTTATTTTATTTATTTCCGAAATTTTATTTTTGTGTTATTTAATCAAAAAATTACCTAATTGTACTTCAATTTTATTGTAATTAAGTCAATTAAAACGAAAAAAAATGAACGAAAATTTATTTCAAAAGTTGTTGATTTTGAATTTCAGCTCAGTTTGTAAACCACTATGGATTGTCGAACAACTTCACTACTTTTGTTTCTTATTTCAATATTTGATTCATCATTCTGTTATGTGAGATACATCTGAATCAAATCATTTAGAATTTTTGATAAATTTTAAACTTTATTTTTAAATTTCTTGCTAATCAACTCTGAATAAAAGATTAAATTTTTAATTTATCTATTGAAAAAGTTCTGCAGTAAATTGACCAAAGTTGAATGTTATCCCAAAATAACAAAATATTAAAACATAACCAAATACAAGCTCACTCCAGTGTCAAGAAATGAATGCGTCATACAGCTTGAGTTTCAAGTTTTAAAGAGTGTGAAAAAACTATACTTTTGGCCTGATGGTGATTACAAAACTGAAGTCAAATTGACTGTACCTGATGCAGAGCCAGCTACACTAAAGTTTTATTATATTTTCAAAAAAATTACTGGAAATAAAAAAAAGTTTTAATGGATGGGAAATCGAAGTTATTGTAAAGCTAATAAAAGGATATCTTAATTGATGCAAACCAATTAGATCTTGTTTAAAAATCTCTAATGTTAAAAATTTGCAAACTGTCAACATCATATTCAATTGCAAACAAATAGGAAGAACCCATCGAAATCCAATTGTAAACATTTTTCAATTATTAACATTTCAACAAAAATCTTAGCACTTCAATATTTTTGCAAAAAATCATTTCAATAATTGCTAGCTTCAGTTACACCTCATTGAATGTTAAACGAGCAAAATATTATTTTAAGTGTTGAAAAACACCAAATAGAAGTACTTTTAAGTTACTCAAGTCATTAAGAGCTTGACGCCCAGTCTTGTTTAAACTTCTCAGCATATTGATTTTTTATGTTTCATGCTTGTTGCATCCTCGAGATGAAGAAAATCATTAGAATTTTTCATTTTTTTTACCTATTTGCATTAAATGTTATATTTTTGTGTAGCAAACTAGATGTATTCTAATGTAAACCGTTAGCAATATTTCACAGAAACTTAATCGATTAATGGCGCGCATAAACTAAAAGTTAATCATGATCGGTAATTAATTGATTCCACTCTTTTGTTTGGTAATTTAAGATTCGATCTAATTTTTTGGAGGGAATGGTAAGAAAATAATGGAAAGAATCAGTTTATCACGATTAAACATCTTGAAACCGTAGACTCACCAACAAAAAAATCCGGTGGCAAAAAAATGCAGACACATTATTGTGCACATTAAAAATAAAGAGCTGGAAGTTTTTCATCAATAATTAATAATTTTCAGTTACGAAATTCCATTCTCTGTTTCTACTTCCATTCTTTTTCATTGAAGAAATATTGAACAGAACTATTATCATTGAAAAGAACTAGTAAGAAAGAAAAACTGTAATTTGCTTGTGGGCTTAATAGACCTTTTCTTTCTTTTTCATTATACCTTAAAAATTGTTTAACAAACTCATTGAATTTTAATTGGAATTAATTTTATAGCTGTTGATAAATTGTCTCACATATAAAATAACTCATGTGAGGAAGGAAATAATAGGAAGGTTAATTGAACGTTAATGGAGAAGAACGTCCACTTGAAAAACGTTCATTTCGAAATCAAATTTGTTTGACCGATTTTTAAAAACATGTTTTCATTTAGAAAAATATTTTCCAAATTAAAATCACAAAGTTTTAATATTTTAATTGAATTCACTCAATTGTTGTTTTTCTCGTATCATTTTGTGCAAATTCAATTAAAATATTAAAACTTTGTGATTTTAATGTGGAAAATATTTTTCTAAATGGACACATGTTTTGTAAAAATCGGTCAAACAAATTTGATTTCGAAATGAACGTTTTTCAAGTGGACGTTCTTCTCCAATAACGTTCAATTAAGAGTACAAATTATATTTTTCAATCCACATCCATAAGAAATCCTGCATTTATTAATTATAAGAAAG